AAATTTGAGGAAAACATAGGTATATATATGAATTTACATTTTTCCAACATTGTATGTATATACACATCTGAGAATATACACTTATATGTACTTACAATATAAAACAGTTCAATGAAAAGATTTACATTGTATTATACGTATAAAAAAAGTTTCCAGAACTTTTTTTCTGATAACACTAAAGCTTATCAATAGTTACTATACAAAAAAAAGGAAAATCGTGTGACAAACAGAAGAGAAAAAGGCACTGAACTATTTTGTCTTATATAGCTGATATCGTTTTTAATACCTTACATGTAATCAATTAAACATTCTATAGATAAAAACGTATTATAAAGAAATGTTTCTTTTGAATAGGAAGCTCTACCTAATCGTAGATTAGAATTAGATTAGCGCGATATTTATCAGTTTTATTTTTAGCCCAGTCGGGTTGTCGAAAACAAGAGCTTCACCCCGCAAAAATTCTAGGTAAAAATTTTATTTTACCAGGCTTTATGGGGTGTCACTGGCAGTGTAAACTCAAAATCGCGACCAAATACGAGCCTAAAGGCTGCACTGGGGAAATAAAATGGTCTAGAATTTTTTCGGGGTTTAATTCTTACTAAGACTATTTTAGAATTCGTTTCCGACGTTTTGCATGCTTTACAGCAAACTAATTTAATTTCATTTAATACCTAGATTATTTTGGCTGGGGTGACAAAATAAGCCCGCTACAATTAATATCGTGCAACATTCTTTCTCTACCAATCTTCTTATGGTAAATTAAAATAATAAAATAGCTTATTATTTTATTTCACGCTAAATTAAAATTACCTCTATACAAAAAACTATAAATAACTAAATTATATATTTTTAATGAAAGTGAAGGACAAAAAGAATAATGTTACGAAATTACATCTTTAATAACATTATTTTTATTACTCTAAGTTCCCCACTTGATATAAATTACACTAAAAGGTTAACAAGATTACTTTATTAAGTGACATTAGCAGTAACGTGTCGAGCGACGCTAATGTCTATTTGTATCTTATAGAAGTACCTACTATCAATTACCTACATCCTTGTTTCGACCGGTGCCCTTGTTACAGATACGCATATAAAAGACAAATGCCCTGAGCAGGCGATACCATAATACACCCTGACACTCTTCCTGTACCGGCGTAGGTCGACATTGACATTTAAGCGGAACAAAATACGCGAAAAACATAATATAGCTTATTAACAAGTGCGAAGGGGATGCCAATATTTGCAAAGGCCGCTTGCACTGGTAAGCTGTCGTTTTATATGCATCTAAGTTAAGGCGTTTGAGGTATACATTCGACTGCTTAGTGTCCAGTGTCCTTGGCAAACCTAGTTTCTATCCGAAACTGGTGTAGATACTATACGAGTACGTCCTCAATAAGCCTTATGTATGAGGAATACATATAATGTGGAGCCAAATTATAACTTCTGGTATTTTAGCATCGATGCAATGTATTTTATAGTCAAGAAGGGATTTTATTAGTAAGATTGGTATAGACATGGTACTGATTATTTTATAGTGCAGTAACAATAGCACTTGACCTTGATCTCATTTCAAACATACTTATGTAGATTGCGATCAGCCGTTTGTAAGTATTTACTTCTAAGTATTCTAAAACTTTGGAAAACTCTGACCTAATTTAGTTTGCTTATGAAAGAATTAGTATCTCAGAGACGCGATAATTGTAAGTAAATTTTTAACTTATATTGATGAATACTATTAATTAATAAGTTCAAAAAAACTTAGACAGACAGCAGTCAAAGCAAAGAGTCAGCTTATTTGTAAAGCTTTTTTTCTATCCTACTTTTTGTATTGATAGGCTTGTGGTAAGAGGTAAAGAATTTATTATTTATTATTATTTCTATCTCTTCGGATTTCACGGGCTCGAAGGAGTCCGGTCATTTGGAAGGCTTGCGTGGGGACACCGGTCCAACACGTCAACACGTAGAGGCCCCGTATGAATACTTTAAAGCATATAGTCACATATATATATATATATATATATATATATATTATATATATATATATATATATATATATATATATATATATATATATATATATATATATATATATATCTATGTATATATTTGACTGCCTCGGTGGTGTAGTGGCTAGCATGTACGGCTGCACACCCGGAGGTCCTGGGTTCGAGTCCCGGGTCGGGCCAAGTTTAGCTATTGTGTCTTTCTGTATAGTAAGCCTCAGTAACAGCCCGGAGTTGGGAAGTTGGCGGTGTTTTACCCCCGTGCCTCGGAGAGCACGTAAAGCCGTCGGTCCTACGCCTTAACTCTCACTGGTCGTGTCGAGTGGTCGTCCCACCTGAATATGAGAGTGACAGGAATAGGGAGTGCACTTGTGTCTGCGCGTACACTTGTGCACAATAATATCTCCTGCGCAGTTGGCTAGTCTCAATGAGATTGACCGCCGTAGCCGGAATCGGCTAGGAGAACATCATCATATATATATATATATATATATATATATATATATATATATATATAGTTATATATAAAACAAAGTCGGGTTAGTTGCACTATTTATAACTCAAGGACAGCTGGACCCATTATCAGTATCTTTATCATTATCAGTATTTAGATTTGTCTCCGCCAAACAGAATAACTATTAAAACATCGGGAAAATTCAAGAAAAAAAATTACATGGCTAACGTTGGCTAATAATAATACAAACTATTCTTATCTGTTTAAAACGTACCTAGGAACGCACCCAAGCGAAGCGACGGTAGGTCGCTAGTTTTTAATAAAAGGATAATTACAAAATTCAAATTTTAAATTAAATTAGAATTTTTATATTTTGGTTACCAATAACAGAATCGAGGAAGTAAATGTGACCTTGAATATGTTTTCCGTTTAAATTCACAAGTAATAATTGCTCTGCATACCTGTGTACCATTCTTATACGTATATAGTGGGCAATAGATATAATGGCAGAATTAAAATAATATTAAAAGAATGTATCAGTGGTCGGGAAAATGGAAAGCGATGAGATGCGCGTGGTATGCGGCTAGGAAATCGGTGTATGATTACTTACAACACGCAATTATAAACACAGTATGAAAAATTACTAATATAACTCAAAACGTAGCTTTTTAAACGGTTTTATTTACTGTTTGCTTGGGTCAAATTAAATAATTAAATTTTTCCACTTTGACGGAATGATCTGATATTTGGTACACATCTTTAATTTTGATGACAATACAATTGAATTTATTCAGTATCATTGTAAATCCAAGATGGCCGCCGCCACAAAATAGCGGTTTACTTATTTTTTCATAACCTCCTCAATATGGGCAATAGGCATCAAATGAAAGGGCATTACAAGTAGAACACAGCGCATGACAGAACATAGAGTTTAGACAGTTTATAATAAAAAAAAACTAAAAACTTGAAAATAAAATACCTATTTTATTTTAATATATTTCTCTTAAAAGTAAAGTATAACATATAAAACAAAACAATTAAATAACTTTTAAAAAAAATCAGTACGCACATTGTACAGATTGCCTTAGCAGAAATGTAGAAGTAGTTGTACTTGACGACTTTATTCACAAAAGCTTAATAGCACTATAACTTACTGAACAAGTTATATTATACAAAACTAGAACTGAAAGTTTAATCTTATATTTAGCAAGATAAATAAACACTCATTCTCGCTTATTATTATAAATGAGTGATTGTTTGTTGATTTGTAAGTTGTCTGTCTTTCTATCACGTAGCAAAAGAGTGACTTATTGACTTGCTTTTTGGCATAAAGATTGTTTATGGGCTAAAAGTAACATAGACTTCTCTCAAACTAGCTCTCCAGTGATGCCCAGTGGTCACAACGAAAAGGCCCGCTTCCTTACTTCATAGTTTAAAAATATGATAAACAACGCAATTACTAATTAATTATGATTTTAGGTAAACTACTATCAATGGCACCACTGCATTGGATTTCCGTCATCTGACGTTATGCGGTCGCGCTTAAAATAAAATAATCATGTATAATTATTATTATTCTTTTATGAAATAAATACCAATATCACACTTAAATTTTGCGGTGACCCATACGGTATCGTTACATTCGTCTTAGTTGTGCAATTGACAAAAGGTACCTATTATATTTAACATGTTTAAAGCGTAGCGGATACTAATCAAATAAAACCGGCTAAGTGCGAGTCGGGCCACGCGCAATGTAGTGGTCCGTAGTTGCCCATCTATGAACATTTAACGTTAACGGTTTCGGCGGCCCATAGTAACATGTACATATTTTTTTTATAAGTTGGCCGCCTATTACTCGTAAACTTGTAAAGCCTCATCATGCATGCGTCAACCTAAGCATTAGTTTTCCTTTTAACTTCGTTATTTATACTATAACCGTGATTTTTTCACATACTCGTAACAAAAATGAAATATTATAAGAATGAAATATTTCACAAACGGACATTTTCGAAATTCGGAAGTTAATCGAAAAATTGTTTTCACATATCTTGACGCGTGACACCACGGAGTAGACTAGAAAAAAAACAACCCCCAATTTAAGTGTAGAGGAGGTATCCATAAAAAATTTTTTTGCAAGATTTTATTTTACGACTTTGTTGGCGTGACTAATATGTACCTATATCCATGCCAAAATGCCAAATCACACCTTTCTGATACTATGAGTCTATGAGCTAAGCTGCGGACAGACGGACGGACGGATGGGCATGGCAAAACTATGTATGGGTAACTAACAGCTATGCGTTCCTTGTTGACCAATCATATATCAATAAATACTTATATTGTTGTCACAACATTGGATTCAAAATAGTAAACAATTATTTCCAAAAATAAGACGCCTACATTATAAAACTCTTCTTAATTTGGAACAAATTATAAATAAGTAGGTACGTTTATAACATATAACACTGCCGTATTGTTTGCTCGTTTGTCACTAAATAACTGATAAAATCACGCTATGTCAGAAACAACTAAAACTGATAATGATGATTCTGTTGGAAGTTAGTTTGTGTAGGAATTTTGATAATTCCGCCCTTAAGGAGTCAAATAGACGATGAAGTTTGTGTGGAAATCCGGCTATTTTCAAAGTAAGAAACATTAATTTTATGTTTAGGGATTTAACTAGAAACTTGCTTATAGATATTTTAGCTATTTCCAAATTTCAACCAAAAAATATAAAAGAGGAAAAAGTTTGTGAGAGAGTTCCAGTACTTTCGAAGAACAAACATGAGAATGAAAATGAAATTAAAATAAAATTCCCATATCTTCCTCTATACAAGGCATCATCCCATGCGGAAATTAAGCTTGAATATTATTATATCTTGATCTTAGCAGGCAGCGCATCATGCTAAGTACACTACCGATTGCCAAACATCCAAATACGTAGTTAACATTAAAAAATGTGTTTCAAACACTTTACACTTTAATGTACTTATTATGTTAGATTCTTGGATTTGTCAAAAAGAGATTTATTTGTAATACCAATACCAATGACTCAGTCATTATATTTTTGAAAGGGAAACAAAAATAAATCAAATTAAGATAAAAATTAATACCTACACCCAAAGTGAATGGTCCACATCTACAAGCCGCGGCCTACCTTTATTACGTATAATGAATATGACAGTCGTTTTATATAAGACACTTTGATTTATACTAACTTTTTTTAAATTAATCAGATACTGATTGGTACAAGTTGATATAAGTTATTTTTATTATTGCTTTTCTTTTTAAATATATACATAGATGTAATGCTTAATAGTATTTAAATTTAAGAAATAAACATTGTTAATAACTTTATTTAAAAGTAAAATCGATTGATGATTGATTTAATTCGATCGATATCCCATATAGATATTTTTGTTTATATACATAGTTGCAATAGTTTAAAGTGCTGTCTACTTACTGATTAATGTCAACAATATTGGTTAAGCTCAAGCGTTTAAGGTCGCATTTTACTAAGTCGCAGGTTAACCTTATCGTAACATCACCAGGTCTTACTGTTCGTTATAAAGTTTACATAATATCTAAGCAACACTTTTGGCTTATGTGAAACAAGAACTACGAAACAATGTTAAAATATTAACTTAGCTAACCATGTACAAAAGTAAACAGAAAACGTAGCAGCAAATATTTGTGAGGCCTTAGTATTTCTGTCCTTTGCGGTTATATTAGGCAATATCGGCAACTAAGTCCTAAGCATAAGAAACAGGACAGCAGAGTGGTGTTTAGACTGACCTGTTTCTGACGGAGGAACGGGAAGAGATCGTAAAGTTCCTTTGCGGCAAGCGCGTAGAGGGCGCAGGCGCGGGAGCAGACGAGGACGTGGGCGAAGTCCGCGGCAGACGATTGCCTGCCACACTCGCCACCAGCGCCACCACCAACCACCACCTGTACATCACGGAACCGGACACGAACGCGACACGACCGACTGTCACGCTAGCGAGTTGCCGACTATTCAGAGATGCAGTACACTCGATCCCGACTACCTTCACTTTTGTTCTGAGCTCTGCGACGTCGACGCCCCACTATGAAGCTACGATGAAAGCGAAGGCTTTCACTGCTATACTGCCACTAGCTTGAGTACGAGCTGTACCAATCCTTAAACTAGATGACGTCCTTTCATAACGCTCCGGGGACCGGCTGATTACGACTTTGTACCGCTTGCATTATAATATTTCATATCGCTTTTATTATAATACAAAACGAGTACGTCTACACAATTGTAAATCTCAAAATATAATACTTCTCCAAACTCAATCGCCTTGACGTTGAGTTTTACGCGAACAAACAAGTTTTATTTGGGTCCTTAATTGTGGAGCGTAGGTATTGATGTACTTGGTTTGGTTGTATTTATATTATCGCTACAAGTGAATATTTTGAGGGAAATCAAACAATTTTGCCACGGGAATAATTTCCCAAAGTCATAATTTAAATTTATTTTTTACTAGCGACTTAGCCTTGCTTCGCTTGGGTGCGTTCCTAGGTACTTTTTAAATAAGGTGGGTGGACCATGAAAGGCCATGCTCTTTGTAAGGCCAAATATTGAAAAGTCGTAGTTATGCCATGCGATGACAAATTCCTTCTACTGAGACTAGCAGCCATCGAACTCAAACACTCAGACGCAGCGGCGAGTCGCTGGCGCTGCTGGTTTGTTAATGCGGTCCCTCGCTTTGTTGACTTCTTTCGTGGACGTTAAAATATATTGTACTATAGGAAAAATATATGATTTTATTTCACTTTTATTTCAAATATCGGTAGTGTCCCTATAGACCAGGGTCGATAATTTTTAAAACCAAAAAAAATAATAGTAGGATGAAACCCATTAGAATAGGAGGGGAATATTATAAAAATGAAAGGAAAAATAATTTACGGGCGATCTGAGGTCGGGAAGGGGATGGGGGTGAGTTTTTAAGGGTAAAAAACGGTTTTTCTCGATTTCCGGCAAAACTAAAAGTCCTATCGAAAAAAGTCAAATGGCAAAGTTGTAGGTAATAAAAAGATCTAAAACTTTTGTATTTACACTTTTGTCACATAACCTCAAAATTTATGTGAAAAAATCAAAAAACCAAGTTTTAGGTTTTTTATTTTTATCTTTTACAAATAAAATTTTTTTTAACGAAATTTAGTGAAAACTTATCTTTTTATGTCCCAAATACGCTGTAATTTATTTGATCAAAAATATTTATTTTTTCACCTTATTTTGAATTAATATCGAAAAAACACCCTAATTTTCAATCTAAAATTCACCCGTCAAAATATCAGCTTTTTTCAAAAAGTTGGTATGTTTTCTGTTCGTTGAAATCTCTACTTTCCGATGGTATTATTATTTTTAAAGGCTTCTACCCTGGTCTACTAGGAAAGCCAATAGTTCCTTCCAAGGCCGAAAAAAGATTATCAAAAAATTGATAGTTGGACTTGGCCTTCCTAGGGCACAAGGACTTTGCTAGTAACATTTAGGAATCACGAAAATGTAAATACTTAGTTCTTATTTGTTAATACGTAACGGGAAAGGTAAAACAATATATAAGTTCATAATATTATTGCCTTAAATCATGCTTTAAATATTTTTATTTGAAAACTCCTTTTGGCCTTACAAAGAAAAGACCCATAAGAAGGGCATTATAGTCGGTTTTAATTTTTTTTATTTCATTATAAAGATTATTGGCAACTTATTTGATATCCATATAATGCTTATTAAAATTATTTTTAAAACATTTTCACAAATACATTCTTAGTGTTCAAGTAATGTTAGTTGACTATTTTTTATGTGAATATAAGTATTATTTATGATATGTATTTAATGTTTCATTTTAATGAAAGAACTTTTCATTATGATTAAGGATAACCAGGTATTTTGATTGTCTCAACGTTAGTTGTAAGTTAAACGATTGATTTATTATATCGGCCTTGTATGGAACACTGTTTCTTGCAAAGCTATTTAGAAGAGTTCAATAAAACTTAAATTTAATAAAGATTCATTAACTCTGCAGTCTGCAATAAAATATTTTATAAGTTACATAATACAACAAAGTGTTACTTAATAATTTGTTTCATTTATTTAACAAATAAAAGAATTATAACTGTTATTTGTTAAGATGGCCTTCCATTGTCAACCCACTTTAGAGATAAATAGTTAGTAGCCAGCGTTAACCATGAAATTTTTTTTTCGTGAATTTATCCGATGTTATAATAGTTATTCTGCTATTTGGGGCACAGACATAATTAACAAATCAAAGATCATAAGAGTCGGTCGAGCCCTTCTTGAGTTATAAATAGTGTAGCTAACCCCTTCCGTATTATTTTATTAATATTATAAATGTGAAAGTTTGTTTGTATGGGGGTTAGTTACTCTTTCACGCCAGAACGGTTGAACGGATCTGGATGAAATTTGGCACAGAGATAGATTAGTCTGTACTTTTATCTTTTTATCCCGGTAAAACGTACGGTTCTCGTTGGATAGGTTTGTCTTTGTTTTCACAATTCAAAATGTTATAATAAAATAATTTCGAAGCGTAATCTGTACATAAAATATATTTAAAAATAATGACTGCAATGTAAAGAAATGTAAAGAAAATTTATGTAAAGAATATAGACCCCAAAATAATAGATATTGAAAGTTTTCTCTGTTTATTTTTCTGTATATCATGTGTGCATTATACGCAAAAAGTACAAAACAGATTATTACCTTTATTTTATAATTGTATAAACTTATTATTCAGGTCAACATTTAGGATACTTTTTACTAAAGGTAACATTTTTCAGTCCTTTTTCTGGAAACAATAAGTGGTTATGACGAGTCGTCCTTAAAAATTTACACGGCTTTATAAAATTTACGCTGGCTAAACCTTTAGAGATACATTAAAACAATATACTAAAAAAACTTAGACCTTAAAAGGCCTAAAAAGCCCGCAATAGCATATTTGTCTATATAGGACTTAGGTATATAGGGACGCGCCGGAACGAAGCGATGGTAGGTCGGTAAATAAATTGAAGTGTCTGTTTGTAATTTCAAATTAACAGCGTTTTACTAAATGCGAAATTATATACGGTACTTATAAGAAAAACACATTTTTTTTATTTTTGTCTGTCTGTTCCGGATAATCTCTGAAACGGCTGGACTGATTTTGACGGGACATTCACTGGAAGATAGCTGATGTTATAGAAAGTAACATAGGGTACTTTTAATTTAGAAAAAGAATAAGGGTTCCGCTCAAAAAACTTAAAACGTACCTGGGGACGAAACCGAGCGAACGAGGGTGAGTTCGCAACTAATGTATAAAATAGGAAAGAGAAATTACGTACAGCGAAGGAAAAGGGACAATAACGAAACGAATTAACGTTAACTATTTATTTATAATAACAAAAAGAAAAGCATTCATATTCGTTTGGAACATATTTACCAAAAAAAATTACTTGAAAAAATATAACATTTTATTCCAGTTTAGGACAAGCTGTCTTTCTCAGATACTTTTTGCCAGAAGGCAAGGGAACCATTGTTACGCCTTGTGGAAACACTTTAGACACTTGATCTTCCGGGACAGTAGGCAACACCATACAATCGTCACCCATCTGTAAAAAATATATTAGAATTTAGAACAAATGTATGTATCTACTTCTATAATACCTATACTTCTACTAGTCGGATGTGTTTAATCATTTCAATCATATTATGAAATAAAAACGTTACAAACAGTTTGAAAAAGTGTAATAGCTAAATCCTCTTTATGTGTCATGGCGACTAGCATTCATTACTTTTATTTCCTTTATTGGCGATTTTGTCGAAAGGGTACGTGATTAATACTAATTAATTAAGAACATAAAAAATGTAATGAATAGCATTCGTTGGAAGTATACAAGTTCTAAAAATTAAATAAAGCCTTATGTTAGCTGTATTAGTCACATAGGCGAAGGAAACAGATTTCCTAAAAACATTTATGTGTGTTGATAATGAGCCAAGTCCGGTACACCGATTTTGATCCAGCTCTTTATGTATATTAGAAAGTACCACACTATACATGGCATACATTATATGGTAACCGTGTATGTAGACGATAATTATATCTACATTTACAAATATATTCTATTAAATATATAATTAATATAATATCACTTTAAGGAATTTATTGCATTAGTTACGTATTTAAATGTTACATAAAAAATTAAGAACAACCTAGTTTGAAGTAATTATTCAAGTAATCCATTTAATAAACTAATTCATATATATGTACATAACATCGTCTAATACTATTATTATGGTAGTTTGGGGTTTATGTTACATTTAGCTTTTAGCTAAACATAAACTAATCACTAGGCAACAATTCAATAAGTCAATTAGTTTCTGTAATATATGTGTTCGAATATAGAACACTTCAATATTTTGATAGTTGTCAATATTGATTTAGAAATAAAAAGGGATTTGAAAGCAAATGGATTTTTACTAATAATTATCCAAATATTTCAGTTTCGATGAACAAAAAAATTGCATAATAAAATGGGATTTATGAGATATAATCTATATACCAATTAAAAAGCAATAATGAAAGTTAATGTAACTTTTTACATTTTTGCGTTTTGTAACTGTATAAGAATGCCCGTAGGCCGTAACTACTAACTACGGTGCAACCCAGTTGAAACAAGGTAGGTATTTTATTTTAAAACTTCAGAATATACGCGTTTAGTCCCGTAGTATTCATTCTTATATTATAGTTAAGCTTGTTGTTGAGAATTTGAGATAAAAGTCCAGCTCTTTGTCAGATTTTTTTTTCGAAATTTTAATCTTATCTCGGAAGGGTGGCAAATTGAAGGTTGTATGGGAACGAGGGAACGGTACGGCGGTACCTGGGCGAAGCAAAAGTGAGTCGCTAGAGTAAAAGTAAGTATTGAACAACCTCAAAAACTAAAGCAGTTATTATTTTCGCATATGATTTAAAACTTTCGATAATTGTATTTTTTGTGGAGATAAAATATATAGGTGATGTAGGTCTAGTAAAAATCTACAACTTTTATAAAAAACACTTTTTACAATAAAATCAAAGTTTTCGAGATATTTGCAGAAAACTGGGTTCAGGGTTTTTAACTTTTTCTTGTTTTTTTTTTTTATTTATAATTTCTAGAATAATCTTTTGATAAAACTAAGGAAATCTAATCTTCGAAATACATGTAATAAATTAAAAAAAATGAAATGGAAATATTTAGCCATTTCCGAGAAAAGCATGTTTTATAGTCTCGAGAGGCTGAAAATCCACCCAACTTCAAGTAGGCGTTTACATATAAAAAAAAGTCGTTCAATTTTTAAATAGGGCTCATTCTTTTCGTCTTGAACTCTACTTTTTGAAAAAATAAAAACATTGTGTAGTCAACCGGTAAAAACACCTTTAAAAATTTAAAAAATTGGAGAAATCGATAATTTGTACTTTGTAAACTACATTTTTTTGAAGAGAGAAGTGTCCTTTATTGACCAAATTTTTATAAACTGATTACACCAATGTATTTTTCGGGAAAAAAACGAAAAATATTGTATGCTTCAGATGATGATTGTAATTTTACGCTTATTTTATATACAATGTCGCCGTAAACATTCCAACTTAGAAATTTGAAGAGTCGTGAAAAAATAATAAAAGTTAGAATTCACGTAAAGTATACCATTGCAGAATCTATTTATGTTATTATTTTCTCAAATTAATCGATATTTTATGAATTTTTGATCGATTTTGGAGTTAAATATATTGTTTTTTCTGAAAATTTTGATTTTAAGGTAATTACAGAAAGAAACGAAATTCATTCATAGTCTAATCTTGTTTATTCATTAGTTAAAAATATAATTTAAAAAAAATGAAATTAATTTTTACAAAATTTAGTCATACATTTGTTACAGAAGCATAAAAAAATGTAAAAGATGAAAAAAATTTTTAAGAAAAACTATGATAGATCCTTGTAGAAATATGACGTTTTTTTTAAATTAACCTTTATTCTACTGTGCATCCATTAAATGCTAAGATATCTATACATATAATAAAATTCTAACTGAGCGGAATCTGTGTATTAAATATTTTTTGGTAAATCTTATTGAAAAAGACATTATTATCGATACAGAGGCCGAATCTATAGATTTTATAATTTTTGTCTGTCTGTTACCGCATTAATTTGGCATGATGATAGCTGGTTATCCGGGTCAACATATAGGATACTTTTTATTGCGGGAATATATCTCATCTCTGAGAAATCGATACTAAACGTTAAAACGTAAGTAGGGACGAAACGTAAGTCGATAATAAAAAAGAAAAGAATCCTTTTTCATTGAAAGTCGAATATCTCAAGAAAAAAATCGACTTAAAAGAGTTTAGATAAAATTATTTTCTTTTCATTTTTTACATTTTTTAATGATTTATTAACAAATTTATGACTAAATTTTTATTACATTATCTAATTCCCACGGGAAAGCACGTTATAATACAATCTAAAAAATATGTATGATCAGAATTACTTGAAACTTGGTATTAATGCTCTTCAATAAAATTAAATAAATAAGTGATTTAGCATTTTTCGAAATACATCATATAAGGAGGTAAAATAGGTGATGAAAATTTGTATGAAACTACCTTCTTAGTTTTTTTGTAGTTTTAGCGCGAGCGGAGCCGCGGGTTCTGCTAGTAAGTTATAATAAAATATAGTCTCTTCAACAACAACATCGACCTGTCGTCAGTCTTGCACATTTTTTAAATCAGCACCCGAATAATATTAATTTTCTTAAAAACTTTACCACGTCATAAGATGTAAAATATTTTTAGTGGTTTGTATTGTCTTTTTTTTCATATAAAATAATACGAAGTGACTATTCGCCCGATCTACGGGTCTACGGGATACTTTCTTTGGGGTTTTAATGTTGTCAGTAAGTTACTATTTTGAATTAATTCTTTGTTATCTTATGTTCATATTTTTGCTTTTTACTTAGAAAATTGTAAATTTTTCAACATTAAATTCAGTTATTAATAACTAATAAATGTATATAGACGCAGCCCTTTATATTCTCTTTCTTTATTTACTTATTTCAATAAAGGAAGATGGATCCTTTCTTAACTTTTGCTTCTGAACGTGACTTACTACATAGATTTTTATTAAATAACGGCTTTAAGAATAATTAGCGATTCACCTTCGCTTCGCTAGGGTTCATCCCTAGCTTGCTTCCCAATACAAACTTTCAACCCCATTTTCACCCCGTTAAGAGATGATTTCCGGGATAAAAAGTATACTATGTCCTTGTCTCAAACTATCTTCTTACCAAATTTCATCTAAATAGGTTTAGTAGATCCAGAGATTACTCTTTACAACGTCACAAACTCACAAACTTTACCTCTTTATAATATTAGTATAGATAATTATTTTATTTATATAAAATATTAATTTTTTTATATTTAGTTACCTTCCAATTGACTGGAGTAGCGACTTTAGCCCTGTCTGTAAGCTGCATAGAGTCTACAACTCGCAAAATCTCACTGTAACAATAAGATATATCATTGAACATTTTATGAAGTACAGTGCATAATTAATAATTGTGTGATTGAAATTGAAATTATATAAAGTACTTATAAGAAAAATTTAATTTCAAAAAAATTTGTCAGTCCGTTTGTTTTGGCTGATCTCCAAAACGGCTGGACTGATTTCGCCGGGATTTTCAATGGCAAATAGCTAGTGTGTAAGAGCTGTTTATATTAGATAAAGAAATAGAGTTCCGCTCGAAAAAAATAAACATACCCAGGAACGCACACAATAAGATAGTTTGAGACCCTGGGAAGGACATAGGATACTTTTTATCACGGAAATTATCCCTTAAGGGGGTGAAAATGGGAATGAAAGTTTGTATTGGGAAGCAAGCTAGGGATTAACCCGAGCGAAGCGAGGGCTAGTCTCTAGTAGTCAATAATTTTACAAAACACAGTTTGGCCCAGAGTCTAGGCAGAATCTTAATTAAGTAAAATTCTAATATGGTACTTAAAAACATTACATTATAGTATAGAGTAAAAAAAGTGTCTTTTTAGGATTCCATAGTAGATTCAATGTTAGAATGCCAAACTTCACTTAATTACATGTGTGCCAATCGGTCAATACATCTGTCAATGCCAAAAAATCAATATAAAAAGTTAAAATGTGTTTAATTAAATAAAATAAAAAAATATTTATAAGTTATGTCTCCAAATGTGAGTTACGGAACCCTAATCCCACGAATATGCTGACATATCAAATAAATGTACGTTTCCCAGGCGACCACCGCCGAGTTCCCCGAATTTGCTTTGTAATGCCGTATTGTTTTAATTTAGTAATTTTATTAATTGTAATACTTTTCCAATCACTCTTTATTCATACTTCGAGTAAAGACGTCGTTAGTTTTAAGATATATAATTATTGTATTAATGTAAAATTAATAAATAATTATAAATTATTCGGTTTTTTTTCGACCTCCTGACTGCTGCAAACGTAATTTGTGTCATAAAATGAAAGGGCTTGTTATTAGAAATACAAATATTTATATTTTATCTTATATTTTTAATATTTCACCTGGTATAAAATAATGACATAATTCAATTCTTTTTCTTCTTAATGGCTTCAAAGTGTATCAGTTGAGCTCATATTACTTCATCAATGTCATGTACAACGGAGAAGACATAAAGGATAAATAATTAATATCACTTGTGCATTGATGAAACATCAAATATGGGCACTATTCAAATACCCATATATACCAATAAGTTGAGGGTAGGTATTATGCCTAGACTATATACAGGGTGGGCCAGAAAGAATTGCGAATTTGAAAAAATAATTAAACAAAAACGAAGTACTATTCACATACAAATTTTTATTTCTACAAAAATTAACATCTGGGAAATTTATTTCTTAAAAATAACATCATCCAGATGTGCACCATCGCGCTGCAAACATTCTTCGAATCTGAACCTCAAATTGGTAAAAACTCGCTGGCACATTGCACTGGGAATATCTGCCATTTCTTTCCGGATATTGGTCTTCAACTGGTCAATTGTGGCTGGGTTATTGGAGTAGACTCTACTTTTTAGGTATCCCCACAAAAAAAGTCCAGTAGTGTAAGATCCGGACTTCTAGGAGGCCATTCAATGTCACCTCGGCGCGATATCAGTTTCTCTGGTGTGGGCTGTTTTGTGCCACGACGACAAGGGGAACGTCGTCAGGACACGAATCAGACCGCAAGGCATTCCCTCATGCAACCAAACGGGTGGGCAGGTTGCGGATAGCCCGATCCCCCCAGGACAGGGATGTCCTCTAAGAACTCCGGACAAGAGGGTGGCACATGGACCAAAACCCACTCCATATGCACTACTACAAAACACACAAAGACCAACAACAAGGAAGCGGGCAATCCCGCCTCCATCAACATGACCGCATTGTTTGCAGCAATGCCGCAACCACCAGCACCCTCGACTTCCTGGAGTCTCGTAGAGCCAAGGAAGAAGAAAAATAGAAAGAGGAGGGAAAGACAACGCAGGTCTAGGACCAAAGAAAGACAAACAACAGGGGGAACTGGCAACAGTGAACCCGATACAGAGGAGAGTGAGCGGTACACCACCGATGGGGACACGCCAGCTGCTGCTCCTGGAGGTACCGGGAAACTGACTGGGGGACATCAGAGCGCGGCAAAGCCCACACCGGGCAATGCTACGCCGGTGAAAGACAGCACGGGACCTGCGGGCTCCTATCGCAGCGGCACAGGCGGGTGCCCAGCGGGGGGAGGGCGCACAACCAACCTCTCTCACACCATCAAAATAGTGGGGGGCCCGAAAACGGTAAAAGATGCTGGAGTACGCGTAGCTCCGGGTTACAAGGGCGGTCCCAGCGGCCAATCAGCCCTGGAAACTGCCCGCCCGTCGAGCTCAAGCGGAAAAAGCTCTGGCGCCCAGGTCTCCTCCAAGACAAAAACCACACATTTACAAAAGGCCCCAACCAAGCAAACCCAACGCCAGCTGCTGTCTAGTCGGCCACGCCTAAACAGCGGCACAAGCGAAGGGGAAACCTCGGAGGGGGGCCAGATAAACAAATCCAACAAGAGGGACCGACTAGACGACACCATCTCACCGAAGGTATCATCGAAACGTCCCCGTACAACCCACATGAGAAGGGATGGGGAGATGGGGAGACGAACCAGATGGATCCACTCAGAAGACAAACACACACATGGATGAAGTCATCAGCCCTCGAAACACACACCCCGCTGGCACTCCCCAGGACATGGAAGAGGTGTTGACGCCTTTATCACTGGTGTCCGCCTCACCAGGGTCTTGGGAAGCACTGGTGGAGTCGGATTGATGCCATCCAAATGACACACGACAACAGACGGCATGCTGCCGTCATACAAGCCAACCTCCAGCACAGTCATCAAGCCTCGGCTCTCCTACGTAGGCATCTGGAGGTTGAGAGGGAGACCATTGCACTAATCCAGGAGCCGTGGATTAGACGCAATAGCGTCTGCGGTCTCGCACTCAATGACGGTAAGCTATTCTATCACACACCCAACGATAAACCGAGAACAGCCATTTATTGCCCGAAAGCCATAAATGCAAAAATTCTAACACAATTCTGTTACAAAGACCAAACCGCTATCAGAATACAAAACGGACTGGTGAGTCCGAACTCCACTGAACCGACACCCATGATCTTGGTGTCACTATACCTGCCCATTGAAGAAAACATAACACACACAATAACAGAAGATCTAGTACACTATTCTGAAAGCAACAAACTGGACATAATCATTGGAGTGGACTCCAATGCTCACTATATGGGGTAACACATCCAACAACAAAAGAGGTGAGAACTTGCTTCCTTACCTAAACACTACTAACTTAACCATAATAAACAAAGGCACAGAACCGACGTTTGTGACCAGCAGATTTCAGACGGTTATAGACCTAACCATAACAAATCTGAGGACTGCTGATCACATCGACGATTGGAGGGTCTCAGACGAGCCCACACTATCGGATCATCGGCACATAAAATTCAATATTGCACTTGCAACAAAACCATCACTGAAACCCCCAAGTCTCACCAATATAAAGAGACTAAACAAAATAAAATATCGAAAGACACTAAGCAAAACACTATCCAAAGTTGACTTGGTGTCCCTAAAAAACACTGCAGACATAGAGACAAACATAATAAATCTTACAAACACAATAATATCCAGTTACAAAACTGCATGCCCGACCAAATCGGACACCAAACAACCCCCGCGAAATGAATGGTGGGACAAAGAACTCGAAAGAAAAAGACAAACACTGAGACAACAATTTAACAGAGCAAAAAACACAAGGAAAGACGAAGATTGGGCAAACTTCAAAGACACCCAATCCAAGTACAAAAAGACCTTACGACAAAAAGACAATAAATCCTGGCGCAACTTTTGTTCCAATATCGAATCAAAAAGTGCAGCCAATAGGATAAGGAAAATAATCTCCAAAGACAAGTTCTGTGCACTAGGCACAGTCAAAAAACCTGATGGAACATACACATGCTCAGACAAAGAAACAACAGAAATCCTACTGAAAACACACTTCCCAAGTTGCAAGCTAGAATATAACACCATACACCAAGAACCACACAAATTCAGAACCCCAACAAATGAAGAGATACAAACAGTAAACTCGATAATCACTGACGACAAACTCAAATGGGCTATTGACAGCTCAAAACCATTCAAATCACCGAGAACAGATAACATTTTCCCCGCACTACTACAACTAGGCTACGACCTAATAAAACCCTGGTTAATAGACATATACAAAAACTGCTTACTGCAAAAATACGTACCTATTTGCTGGAGACACGTCAAGGTAGTCTTCCTACCCAAACCAGGCAAGGCAGACTACTCGCAACCCAAAGCCTTCAGGCCCATAAGCCTAACATCCTTTCTCCTGAAAACCCTGGAAAGACTCTGTGAAAGACACATCAGAGAAACCACTCTGACAACTATACCTCTTAACGAAAACCAACATGCATACACGGCAGGCAAGTCCACAGAAACAGCGCTCCATCAGGTAGTAAGTACTATCGAAGTCAATTTAACAAACAAAATAAACACATTGGAAGCCTTCATAGATATTGAAGGAGCCTTTGATAAGACAACCTTCAAAAGCATAAACACAGCTTTAAACAAATACAAGATCCCCGAGATCTTAATATCGTGGATTAACGAAATGCTGAGTAAACGCATAATTCACACAGAAACAAACGACAACCTCACAGGACTAGTATCCAGAGGCTGCCCACAAGGGGGTGTCCTCTCACCACTACTCTGGAACCTTGTGGTAAACAGCCTCCTCAATGAGTTAAATAACAATGACATACAAGTCATTGGCTATGCAGACGACATAACCATCATAATAAGTGGTAAAATTGAAGCCACCCTAGGAGAACTAATGCAAAGCGCCCTTAATATAGCAGAAAACTAGTGCATACAAAACGACTTATCAATTAATCCCGCAAAGATGGAACTACTGCTTTTCACAACGAAACGCAAGATCAAATTAACAAAAATGCCAACATTATTCAACGAAAAACTGAAATTATCAAATGAAGTCAAGTATTTAGGTGTAACACTTGACAGCAAACTCAGTTGGAACACACACGTAAACAACAAAATTACCTCAAGCCACAAGATACTGAACCAATGCAGGCGCATGGTAGGGAAACAATGGGGCATTACACCAAAAACAATGCTCTGGCTCTACACCACGGTGGTACGAGCATCCCTCACCTACGCCAGTGTAGTCTGGTGGCCCAGAACAGAACTACACACAATCCAAAACGAACTTCAAAAGTTCCAAAGAACAGCCACGTTAGCAGTAACAGGCTGCATCAAAACCGCTCCATCGGCTGCCCTAGAAATAATTCTGGGCATACCACCTCTACACATTTTCATAAAAAAAGAAGCTGCCCTGTCAGCTCTAAGACTAAAATCAGTTAACTCATGGAAACGCAATCTGGGCAAACACACAAAGATCCTCGACATCTATGAGGCAGAATTTCCACAGCTCAAATGGCCAAACGACAGAATAAGTAAAACACACATCATAGAAAAACATTATACTATAAACCCATCAGATGCCGGAAATGCAGACAACAGCCCAACAATGGTTCCAATCCACACCATCTACACAGACGGATCCAAATCCAAGGAAGGAGTAGGTGCAGGTATATTCTGCCCTACTCTCAATATCAAAACCAACCATCATATGGGTATGTACAACACAGTGCTACAAGCAGAATGCGTTGGCATCACAATTGGAGCACAAGAACTACTAAATAAATCGATAAAAAATTCAATAATACACATAAAAACCGACAGCAAAACGGTTTTACAAGCACTAACTAAAAACACAACAAAATCTAAATACATATTAGAATGTCACAAAACGCTGGAACACCTTTCCCATACTAACACAGTAAAGGTCTCCTGGGTAAAGGGTCACACAAATAACAAAGGCAACTCAACTGCCGATAACCTAGCCAAACAGGCCTCTAGACTGAAAGTTCAGGGGCCTACACCTCTATCTCCAATTCCACATTGTGAATACAAAACATGGTTACGAGATTTCACCGAAAACACAGTTAACACATTATGGAAGGCTAACACAGATTGCCGTCAATCGAAAGAAGCCTTCCCCACACTAAACAAACAATTAACAATGAAACTAACACGCCTAGATAGACCCAAACTAAAAACGGTGGTGGAACTGATAACAGGACACTGCCAACTCAATAAACATCTTTTTAACATAGGTCACACGGACAGCGCCCTATGCAGAGCGTGCCTCCAAGAAGATGAAACACCAGCACACATTCTAACTGAATGTAGTGCACTGGAACAATTACGCGAAGAAAAACTCGGCCCCTATAGATCGATCCCAGAAATCTTCCAGGACACCGGCAGCCTGCTAGACTACTGGGACGCTCTGGGATGGAAAGAATAACACACACAGCAGCACAAGCTCACGCACAACGGGCAAGGATGCCTAAGTGCGGAAAAAGCCGTGTCAGAAGAAGAAGAAGATATCAGTTTCTCAGCAAACATCTCGTTAACGCCGAAGAGGCATTAGCTGTGTGGCATGTCGCGCCATCTTGTTGAAACCATGTCGCACGATTATAGGCTTCAAATTGTGACAGTTGTGGAAAGAAAAAATCCCTTAACATGGCTATGTATCGGTCAGAATTTACAGTGGCAGATTGGCCTTGTCGATTTTCGAAGAAGTGGGGTCCGATAATTCCGTGCGCTGACATGGCCGTCCAAAAGGTTACTTTCGGCGAATGTAGAGGCTTTTAATGTTTTGCACGTGGGTTATCTGCAGCCCAGTAACGGCAATTCTGTTTATGTGAAAATGGGCTTCGTCGGAGAACAGAATATTGTTGAAACTCCGAAAGCGTTCCAGCATCGTTTCAACAAAAGCTCTCTGTAAAATTGGATCATTTGGCTGTAATTCCTGCACAAATTGAATTTTATAAGGGTGCAATTTCAAATCTTTCAACAAAATGCGACGCAAAGATGTTCTGGACACAAGTTCGGCTGAACGCTTTCGAGACGATAGAGCAGGATTACGTTGAACTGAAGCTCTAACTTGTTCAATTGTGTCTTCCATTCTTGTTGACCTTGGGCGTCCCGCAGGCTTCTGTTTGAGAGTCGAACCAGTAGCTTCGAACTTTCTGACCCACGATCGAATCACGTTTTCCTTCGGACACTGATTTAGGTCATGTAATCCAAACTCACGTCGAAATAAACGCCGAACAATAGCGCACGAATCGTGATTTTTATAATGTTTAACGCAGAATGCACGTTGCACTCCGGTGAAGTGATCCATCGCGACTAAATTTCCGAGAACCGAGCTCCTTAACCCGACCACTCGCGCAGTCCCCTCTCTAAAGCTTCAAATGCAAGAGTGTTTTTGAAATCGTACTCCTTTCTGGCCCACCCTGTATATAAAATCTGGCCAAATTTATATTTAACTTACTCAAAGTTTCTACCAGTAGTGGCAGGATACAGCAAAGACAATCTAAACTTTTTGTTAGGGTCTATAATGAACACAGCACGAGCAGTGAGGGGCATGCCAACAGCATCTAGCTCATCCTTATCAATCATACCCAGTTTCATAGCTATTTTTCTATCTTTATCTTCAATTAAAGGATAAGGAAACTTATCATCATCAGTACAGCCTGAAAATTAGATTTTTATTTCAAGTTAATTCCTTTTTTCATTTTTAAAACTTTTGAAGTAAGTATTTACAGAATGTACAGTAATAGAAAATATATTTAAATCTTTGCATATTCATAAACAATTAGATGATACTTAATACAAGTAGATAATGATTTGATAAAGATTCATCATATTACAGCTACATTACAATCAATATGAATTAACAATTTTCAAATATGAAACCACAAGGGCAGAAAAAGTGTGATTGCCATGTGTAATAAAGTAGGCATGGAGAAAGAAATAAGTTTAGATACAAAGTGGAAGAAACAATTAGTAAAATGCTAGTACAGTGCTCTAGTAAACTCGGTAATGTAATGCTTAATAAGACTATGTCTTGTGCTCACATTCCCAATGTAGACATTTGTAAATTACCAGTTTATAATACTAGTTTGAGGACTATAAATTCTTAAATAGTATGAATTTTTCTTTTCTCAGTCAATGACACGTTATATGTGGCTGTTAAGCAATCATTTGCTAACTAAACTGAATTAGACAGAAACAATGTTTACCTCCATAACTCTTAATATCTTTACACCACTCCTTATGAGATGTAACTGAATCACATGACAATCCAATTGTCTTGACATTGCGCTTCTGAAATTCTGGTTGCAAATTTATCACCTTGGCAAGTTCAGTTGTACACACTGGTGTAAAATCCGAGGGGTGAGAGAAAAGTATGCCCCATCTGAAATTTTAATAAGCTCATGCTATATTACTATCAGTTACATTATTTAGATCACATCAAATAATCCTTTTAGATTTATTCTACCTATATTACTAATTACGTTTTTTTTACAAATTGAGGTTGTTTTGAGTATACAACCGACAGATTTAAACAAATTTATAAATGCGTAAATTCCTTAAATTATTCGTTAGGAAAGATGATTAATTATAAGAACACTTACGACTGACCAAGCCATTCATAGAAATCTATTTCACCGTCTGTTGTATTAGCAGAAAAGTTAGGAAAAACATCCCCTAGTAACAACATCATATATTACTAAAGAAATTTCAACTTGATAAATTATTTTGTGTACCACACACAATTGATGAAGAAAACAGTATGAACAGTACTAAAGTAAAAAATATGTAAGCAAAAACAAAATACAATTATAAGTTTCCTAATTCAAAAAAGTTCGTATCAACCATAGAGTATATTGCTACATATATAAAGTATCAACCATAGATGATTAACAATAAATTTTTATTTGTCATCCATGGTAAAGTACCAACTTTTATTTGTCATCCATGGTACCAACGAACATTTTCTAAGGTATCATCACAGATTAAAAACAAGACTTCGACCCTGTTTACAAATGATAAAGATTTCTCCAAAGGAGGGCACTACACGTATGATCTATTTACATGCAGTCTAAAGTTAATTTATTATGATATATCTTTTGTACCTGTTGGAACGTAGTTCCTTATCAGAGCAAGATCCCAGGACCGCCAGACGTCGCGTATTTTCTGACGAACTAAATGTGGACGATTGGGTAGTGTTAATATGTACTAAGATCACATGCCTACTTGCTAACTTAGTTAGACGACCAATTTCCAGGTATCAGGTAATCAAGGTACCTCAAAAGATTAATTACCTCACGTACATTCTCCAAGCTGATTTTCACGTATATTTTAGACAATATCACTAAAAATAAGTCGTCAATATTCCCAGACACTTTCCGTCGGCCGTATTGCTTTGCAGGCGCTTTAAAGGTTCCAAAATAATTACTTTTCTTCACGTAAATTCTGATGCTCCATGTTTATATATGTTTGCCAGACAACTATTTTAAAACCGTTTACTAGAAGACAGACCAAATCAAGGGGCCAATCACCCCCTTAAACTCAATTTTTCTACCCACAGAGGTATTAAAATTGAGTTTAGTTTTAGGGATATCAGTTAGCAATATATTACTATGAGTGCTATTGCTATTATATTTCAAAGTACGACGACACGCTTGGCTCAGTTTGTAGTGATCCTACTTGCTGCGCCAGTGGTCGCGGGTTCGAGTCCCGCTGAAGGCATTCATTTGTGTGATTAGCACGAATGTTTGTACTCCAGTCATGGGTGTTTATATTTATAATATGTATGTATTTAAAGTTATATATGTATAATGTATCAACTATGTGGTATCCATAACACAAGCCTCGTAGCTTACCATGGAACTAGATGGTGTTGTGTGTTAATGTCCTGACATATTTATTTATTTATTATATTTCAAAGTCACTAGGTGTTAAGCTATTGCTATTATGTTTTGGAAGACGCAGTGTTAGTAAAAATTAATTTTTTCTCTAATTTTAAAAATTTACTGTTTTTGGATTTTTCCCTATGTATGCACACGATTACCCACCTGGACATAAAATTTCAACTTTCTAGGTCATCTGAAAGTGGGTTAGGTTTTACTACTATATGTCAGTCAGTGATAAAAATGCTGAATTTTTTTTAATAAATGAACCAAATTTCATGAGTTTATGTTATTTAGATTTTGAGTTAATACGAGGTGAAAAGCGGCTCCAAATGGTTCGTGTAAAATATACACACTTATGAACTATTTAATATTTACACATCGTCGCACACAGCTCTCCCAAGCGCCGAAACGCAAATTTCCTCAAATAATTATGCTATACATATAATATAAGTTATCTGTATATGTATTTTCTTATCTGTGAGTCAAATCTCAATCAATGGCGTCACCGTCAAGGACCCAACCCGCTGCTGTTGATTCGTGATTTTTGTGTATAATATATTGAAGTGAATATTTTAAGTTGTGTTTTATTTACAAAGTAATTGAACGTAAGTAACGCATATATAATGACTAAATATTGTTAAATTGTTATTTTCATACTTGGACGGCCCGACCCGACACAAAATGGACGTCATAATGTATTGTGACGTGATTATGTAAAATAACATATTAGAGCCTCAAATAACTCACATCGCATGAACGTTTAATTTTGATTATAACTAATAACAATCTTATAAATGCAAGTAGGAATATCATGAGGTATTTTGGTATGTTGAGAGCTTTGGAATGTCCGTCAAGTGCTTGCACTAAATGCTAATTTTTCCAAAGCAAGATGAGGGCATGGCAATGATTAGGAATCTAACGGTCACTCACCTCAAGTACTTATTATATTTTCTATTTAGTATCTAAATCTAGATATAAAAATTAAATAATGCCACACTGTTCTATTTACATGACATATAATGAGGTCATTGTCCTCTTTTGCTAAGTACTTTAATCTTATAGCAGATATACATTACTGTCCTTGGTAAATACTAGTTAAAATGTTCTGTCTACATGATTTGCTGTGCTTTGTGGTTTTTTTAATAAGCTTTTTAATTTTAATTTAGGAATAATTATTTAAAAAATATTGAAAAATATAAACTTGTTAAGTATTGACAACAATTAAATTTTTTTTTGATCAAAACTTTAATTAATATCAGTTATTATCCTTAATAATAACCATAATAATGTTTGTCACATTGTTACAATTTAACATTCATATCTAATAATATACTTGCAATATAGAATGTGTCTTATGCTGCCATTATAATAGGTGAACTCATTTGCATTTTGCGAATTTTTATTGAATTATATTTTATTTAAAATGCTAAATTGCTTTGCTTAAAGATATTGAAAGAAAATGCTTGTAAATTAAGAATTATTGAAATATGCAATTTTATTTTAAATAATTGTGTTTTATTTACTAAGATTTTTGTCTTATAAATTTTTTACATCTTTTATGTTTTTGTTCATTTTATTAATTATTATAACATTTTTATTTTCAGGTACTTAGAATTACTAACTAGGTGCTATGGTCAAGACATTACATGATATTTATTAAAACATTGATAGTAAATTCATTTCAATAGTTATTAAATTTAAAATATAGCATTAAAATAATAAAATGCAAACCATTAAATGTGTTGTGGTTGGTGATGGTGCAGTGGGTAAAACCTGCTTGCTGATCAGCTACACAACTAATAAATTTCCCTCTGAGTATGTACCTACTGTGTTCGACAATTATGCTGTAACTGTCATGATAGGAGGTGAACCTTACACCTTGGGTCTGTTTGATACTGCAGGTATGTATAATATGATTTTTTTATATTTTTTTTTTTATTTAGCTATTATTTCAAAATGGAGAGACAGGTTAAATTTTTGATTTTATCTATGATTGTTATATTCAATCATAAAATTTTTAATTTGCTTTGTTTACAATATGCAATATTTTTTGTTTTGTCCATGTTTAATTGACTAATTATTATTTAAATTTTGTTATCAGGTCAGGAGGATTATGACAGACTCAGACCTTTGAGTTATCCGCAAACTGATGTTTTCCTTGTTTGCTTCAGTGTTGTGAGTCCCAGTTCATTTGAAAATGTCAAGGAAAAAGTAATTGCTTTTTTATACATACTAAATATTAACTTATGAACTGCCCTGGCTTTGCTCACATGTAAACTAATATGCATCTTGCTTACACTTATTGAATTCAGACCAATAGACTTAATTATTGATATATCTTTAACACTACCTGCCATATGTTATTAAAACTATCTGAAAGTAATTATTGTGCACATATGTTATACAATACACCAAAGTTTCATCATTATTTGATAAATAACTTAAAAACGCATGCATTACAAACTTCCATTCATGCATAAATATTACATGTTTGTATATGTTTAAAGTACCAGGGCATGTACGAACTTCACCTACTTATAAAATACAGTTTATAACAATGTCTTTGCTTCAAAAAAGTAGAAAGAAGATTCTTAATTTGGGTGTATGAATTTTTTGTGCATGCTTTGTCTATGTATTTATAGTCATCTGTAAATTTAAGTGTTTTTTAAATATATATATATATATATATATATATATAAACACAAACATTGATAAACAGTAAACAATAATGGGATGGGGACTTTTAGTTGTAGAACATCATAGATATAGGATGAGAGAGTTAAGGAAAATCATTAACTTTTATATTGGTAATGCACATTACCTTTGTGATAATTAGACTTGTTAGCATAGTACAATACTCTTGTAGAAAATAAAATTATAATAATTATTTTTAATGTGTATATATTATGTATGTATTTTCAGTGGGTACCAGAAATAACACATCATCAGCAGAAAACACCATTCCTTTTGGTGGGGACACAGATAGACTTACGAGATGACCCAGCAACTATGGAAAAGTTAGCAAAAATAAAACAAAAGCCCGTTTCTCTGGAACAAGGTGAAAAACTTGCTAAAGAGTTGAAAGCTGTTAAATATGTGGAGTGTTCGGCTCTCACTCAGGTATTGTAACAATTTTTATATCTTTGTATTTATAAGTTCACTTGCAACTAATATTCAGCTATTATTCGGTATTCCGCCTAATTGGCTACTTTTATCCTATTCGGCCGAATACTGAATACCTAATAATATGTTGTGTTGTAATCAAATAATAATAGGGAATATGTGTCTCATATAAAGAAATGTGATTTTTTTCTTTTATAATCTCTCTTGCGTTTAAATTAAGCCTATACTAATATTTTTAATGTTATTTCTTTTTAATTAAGAAAATAATTATTAAAAAGTGCAAAAACAGGTTGGAAATTCAAAGTAGTTGAAACTCAACTTTGGTCAGACCGAATATGACATCAGAGTATATTTTGTCGCTTACAAATTGAGTCGTCATTTAAAATGAGGCAAGCGCTTAAAGTATCTGTAACGGTATGATATTTAAAATATATATATGTACCAAATGGTCGTTTTTTAGACCTGGATATATATATATATATATGTATACTATTCGTTGCAAGTCTATTTATAAGTCAATGTAATTAGTGATAGAAAAACAAAATTTATCTTTCCCTAAAATAACTTTTTCATAACAATTGTTGAATAATTTTATTAATAAATATGTATTAATATTTCATGAATAATGTATGGTTTTATTGCAGAAAGGGTTGAAGAATGTGTTCGATGAAGCAATCCTAGCGGCTCTGGAGCCTCCGGAGCCTGTCAAAAGGAGGAAATGTGTGTTGTTGTAATGTATCTTTCCTACATGGCAGTCCGCCAACCTGATCCATTCAATTTTGCTTTATAAGCTAATTGTGTATGTAATGTTCATCTTATTTTTATAACAGTTACTATTAAATATGCCATAGAGTTGTTCTCGTGCTACTACTTCTTATTTGGGCCTTAAATGTTTTAAATAAAATATAATACGATAATATGTTAAGCCATGTCATATTTTGTCACTTTAAAATGATTAACATTTATAAGTCCTTTGTACCTATTAATAGCATTATACAACTTATATTCAGTTAATAGGCTTATGATCATATACAATATTGTATGGTAACATGCTTTTAATAGCAGGACTCATGTATTTTAAATTATTTATTATTCTTGTGTTGTTTGCATATATATAAGTGTTCTTAAGAGGTGGAGATATTCTGTACATTATTGTTTTCATATCATCTTTATATAATAAGATGATCAATAAAAATAAATTACATATGTATATATATATATATATTACAATAAAATATAAATTATAATATACTCTGAAGACTAAGTTCTTAAGTAAGAGTGTCTATATAAAAGAATATTCTGATATTTGCTATGGACGAGTATATTTACTAACACAACACAGCACAAACAGCCTAGTTAACATTTGATGATTAGATTTCCTACATATGAAAGATGACTTACTGTCTTGTTGCATTGATACTTGATATTGAAATAAGTCACATATTTGACACCTTCGAATATTCCGCCTCTTAATAATAATTTTTATTTTGATTTGATGCATACGTTTTCGTCGTATAAGATTTAACATTCTAACAACTCCAAACGTTTAAACTAGAATATTAGAGTGGAATGGAATTAATGATGCTCCATGCTGCTAAGGCAAGCATCACTAATGCCATCCCGGGGTTACTATACAGAGTATATAATGGTGTGAATATCAATTACTAGTGTTTAACTTTAGTGGAACGTAGCATTTTTATCACGGTATATAGCTATGTAAATTTTGACTGAATTTAAAGTATTCATTCCATAGGATGTCTATGCATTTTCTCATATTTGCACTGCGATTTTTACTAAGGTTATATATAATCGCTTGCATTTATATTATGCGGCGTAACTTGTGTCCCAATTTTATACTCTGTATATGCTGCTGCCTCAACACAAAGTAACGCACAGGGACATTACCATCAAGTAACAGACGGTGTTCGAGTATTAAGGGAACGCAGTTAAAGACCTTCGTGCTACTTGTGACGTTTTCCACAAAGTATCCCGAAAGTACTGATAGAAGTTATGAAAGAACATTATATGTATATTTAATTATTAGTAATAAATAAATTGATCACTTCTAACTTATTTGTTTTTATGTTAAAATGAAAATATACTTATAGTTTATTTTCAAAAATGCCACAAATTACGTCAACTTGGCGTAAATATCACTTCCACGCTCTCGTGATACTTGAACACTTGCAAGCATTGTTTTCTCGAGCCAACACCGTGGCTCTGTGAGACCGGATATATATTTGCTAGCGACTACGTCATATTTTATACATGTTGCCACGAATATAACTTTCATAAATTTATTTATGTTACAAGGTAATTAAGTATAACGTGCAAATTGATATTGATATAATACAGATTAATAATATTAATTGTGTGCTTCTTTTAGCAAATGTATTCCCGGCGCAAGCCCCTATGATAACGTGCCCTTGTATTCATATGTACTCATGGGTGAGAAAGATTTTTATACGAGATAAAGTGCAGTGTACTTTACATATATAATCTATATTATTTTACTTTGTACTAAATTTTAAGTTACATTATAATATAAAAGCTTGTTCATTAAAATATAATATCATATTTTGTGTAAATATGAAATTATCAAAATTTGGTATGTGTTAGTACTGAGTTTAAAAGTATTATATTGATTTTTATGGAATAAAAGATAAAATATGGGAATTATTTTCTTAACAATTATTCATTTAATAATTTGGTTAACGATATGGTTTACAATCTTTCTTTGTGTCAGTAATTAGATTTAGGTGTATATTGAATTAATAAATATAAGATTTAATTGTGTGTTTTAATTTAGTAGTAAGTGAGCCCCTTTTCTTGCCTTTCAAATACTTACGGTTTATTTTATGATAATACTAGCGAATAGCGATAACTCTCCCTTCGCTCGGGTGCAGCTCTAGGTATGTTTTATATAGTAGCTATAAAAATGTTATTATGATCCTATCTTAGGAGATACAGATGCCAACGAAATTTTTTTTGTAGGCCGTTTTAAGACCTATAATTTTCTAGTACTTCGTTTTGATGTACCTCTTAAAGGTTTAGCCAGCGTTAGCCATGTATGTCATCGTACTAAAACATTTTTTTTTGGACAAAACACCGTCTAGTCCGTCCGTCAGCTATTTCATAAGCACTACTCCTTTATCGCTCTTTCTGTAAGTGAAAACCGCATTGAATTGAAATACATTGCGTCGCTTAGAGGCAGAAAGAAGAGAAAAACAGGCAGACAGCGATATTGTTTTATACTATGTATGGATAAATAAATATGTTGGGACATTAACACACAACACCGTCTAGTTCCATGATAAGCTACAAGGCTTGTGTTATGGATACCAGATAGTTGATGCACTACAAATACATAACACTAAATATATACATATTATAAATATAAACACCCATGACTGAAGTACAAACATTCGTGCTCATCATACAAATGAATGCCTCCAGCGGGACTCGAACCCGCGACCTCTACCACAGCAAGTAGGATTACTACAAACTGAGCCACACGTGTCGTCAAATGATGTAAAAAATATTAAAAGTTTGAAATTGGGCGAATACTATTCATTCATAATTTCGCAAACAATTTATAAAGGTACTTAAACCTCCTTAGTACGAGGTATCAGATGCAATAATATTAAGTTGCCTGATATATTATTTATAATGCCCTTCATACATTTCATTAAAAACAGGGTAACTAATAATGAGTATATTAGTTAAAGAGTCTATGCTTTTCAACCGTAACATTCCTTCATCTCTAATAATGTCGAACTGCCAGTGAAAACTACATGGATACAATAAACGTCCATGTTCATAGATTTTGGTAGGTACGATGTTGTGTTGTTAATTAAATGGCATTATTTTTTGACACCATAACGTCATGATTTTTTAGTGATTTTGATATTTAACACCTTTTTATATTAAAGTTTAAACATTCGCAATTTTATCTTGAATAGATGCAAAGCATTTGTATGGTATGAAAATTTAAAGTTAAAATGGACGAAGGGCTTAAGATTACTAATGGTTAGTGGCTGATGAATTTTTGCAGTATCGTATCTTATTCGTGATGGATGGATGAACGACAGGAGCAAATTAATATTATTAAATTTCTATTTGTGGCATAATAAAAGTAATAATTATATATTTCTTTAACATTCTAATCAATATCAATATGGCGGATTGCCTTGTATCTTTTTGCCTAGCATTCATGGTTTTTAGCAGGACATGAATTTATATTATTACTTCTATATCTACTATATATATATATATATATATATATATAATATCTACTATATTTTACAGAAAAACGTCATAGGAGTTCCAGTAGTCTCGCTGGAATATTGGATGGTGTACGCTCTGAAAGGAAATTAGATCTTAAGGGTACTTACATGCTAACATGTTATTTAACTGCCGGTGTTTTTAAGTATATCATAATAAATTATGAATTAAATATTTAAGATTCAATACCGGAAGTTGATGACCAGTTTACAATAGCGGAAGCGCGATGTAAAGATTTACAGCAAAAAATTAATCTTGTTAAAACTCTTAGAAGAAAAAAGAAGTTAAAAAAACGCAGGTATGAAATAAATACTACGAGAGGCGGCCGATAAGTTCGCGGCGTATTTAATGAAAAGTATACATTTATATATAGATTTTTTACAATGTGATCCTCATCAAGTGAAATAAACTTTTTACATCGTGAATATAATGCTTTTATACCATTGAAAAAATATTCTTTCAATTACTCTTCAAAATGGCTTTCTACGGCTGCCTTCATCTAATCGTCGTTAAATTTAAGTCCCCGGAACTCCTTTTTTAAATTTGAAAAAAGGAAAAAGTCACTGGTAGCCAGGTCTGCATTATAGGACGGATGGTGAGTGGCTGTGAATCCCGTAGCTTTTAAAGCATTCCTGCAATCCGAGCGGTGCGAACGAGCGCATTGTCTTACAGAAACAGCACTCCGGGCGCCAACTTGCCACGTCTCTTCTGAACGACTGCCTCACGTGCCTGACCCAGTAAATTAGCGTAACACTGGCCATTCATTGTCCCCTTAGGCATGTAATCAATTAATAAAATTCCGTCGCTATCCCAGAAAATGGTAACCATAATCTTCGACGTCAACTTTTCTACTTTGAATTTCTTTGGTGGCATCGAATCTTGCTTGGACTGAGGATCATACTGATGAAACCAGGTTTCATTAACGGTTGCTAATTACATCCAATCCAGGTTGACACAACTCCAGAACATCCTTACAACTCTCCAATCGTCGCTGCTTGTCGAGTAGTGTGAGCATTTGCGGTACACAATTTCGCGCACTATTTTTTTCCATGTGCAAATATTCATGCAAAATCTATCTAACTCGTTCTTTTTCGACTTTTTGTCATTTTCTTCGATCGCAACCGTCACTGAGCGGCCCTGACGGGGATCACCTTTCTGATTTCTCTTCCTCGTTAAAATAGCCGAGCATGATTTATTTTTTTACCTGATTCCTGAAGAACCAATGACATCTCTTCAAAAATTTCTTTTGGCGTACCTATTTCCTTTTTCAACCGACTTCAAAAAGGAGGAGGTTCTCAATTCGACTGTATGTTTTTTTTTATGTTTGTTACCTCAGAACTCCGTCATTTATTAACCGATTTGGACAATTTTTGTTTTGTTTGAAAGGGTATACTTCCAGATTGGTCCCATTTAAATTACAAAAAAATATACCACCCCTAAGGGTGGAAAAACAACTAATGATGAATTTAACCTACTTCTAATTGTCATATTGACTTGAAACTTTGCAAGTATTTCTATTTCCGTTGATAGTACAGTGGTTCGGTGTTGTTGACCTGATCTGATGGCAAGGCCAGAAGGTGGATAGGTGGAACTCTTCAACGGCTAATAGTAGATACTTTGAGTTTGGGCTTATTTTGTTTGATTTGACAAGCCTAACACGTTAGAATCCTTACTATGCTACTACTGTCTACACTAAAAAGGGAAAAATAAAAACTTTTTAACAAAAAAATAACAACCGACTTCAAACAAAAGCACTAAAAAGTAAAAAATAACTGATTGGTAGTTTTCATTTACTATACATACCTAATCAAATATTTTCGAAGTCGGTGTGCTTTGGCTAAGTAATTAAAGCCTATGTATTAAATACATACCTAATCAAATATTTTCGAAATCGGTGCCAGCCCATACAAAGCAAATCACACCGACTTCGAAAATATTTGATTAGGTATGTATAGTAAATGAAAACTACCAATCAGTTATATTTTACTTTTTAGTGCTTTTTTAACAAGGAATTTCATCATAGTGCGGTGCTTCAAATTGCGAGAATTTCCTTTTTCCTTTGACATGGTGTTGTTGCTTGTTCCAGGGAGTAAGTCTTAATGAACCAGATAAAAAAGGGGTGTTAGGTATTTATAATATCAATGAATCGCACAATTAGAGAATATAGGTAATGAGGTGATGAGTCATCGCTAAGTACTTTAGGTCGCACTTATCAGCCGTCCTCCCCATATATGTGTTTTGGACTTAATAATGAAAAAGTAGCAGTATGTATGTATATTTTTATTCTTTATTGATTTTTATTTTAAGCATGACTACAATAACAGAACCAAGCTCTACATCGGAGAATGTGCCCTTAATCACTGTCCGTACTCAGCCTAAGAAAAGTAAGTTGCAAATATAATGTACTTAACTCTTTTGAAATACTATAGGTACTTCATCAAAATTAATGTAATATGCTTTTTTTTATTTTAACAGTATAGATACTTTTTAACCCCCGATGTAAAAGAGGGGTGTTATATTACGTTTGACCGCTATGCTGCCGTCATAATAAGAAGGCCCTAATTAACAATTTGTACAAAAATGATTTAAATACATATTCGGTATCAGCAAAAAATGCTACTTGAGAGTCTTTAATCAAACAACTCTACGTCAAAATTTAAGGATTTTTAATCTGAAATGCCTTTATTTCAATATTACGGCATTTTATTTTTGTATTTACAACTTGCCTGCAATCTGTTTGGCCGTAATTTCCATTTATGTCCTTTTAGGTTAGCACATCCAAATGATCATTATATATTCGCTACGATAAAAAGCCTTAACTTCCAAATTAGTCCTTTTTATCTTAGTAACACTTGAGGATAGTTCTGTATTTCATTACACTATTTTTGAAAAGCCCCATTTTATTCAAATTATCAGCCGGTAGAAAGTGTAGTGTCCGGAGGCCCTAATAGTATTATGCTCTGGTAAATAAAGACGGGGCTAGCCCTGTTGGTTACAGAAGTGTCGCAACAGTCGTCCAGGTTGAGAAGACTCGAGATTCCTGCCAACACGCATCCGCGTGGTTATATTGACCCCGACTTGATTGAACAACACCAGATGCTTGACAGAGTGCATGCTTATAGGCAGGAACAATTACCGAAGATGAATAAGGCTAGTTTTAACAGAAAAATAATGTTATCTGCTGTAACTGTTGTGCGCGTTTTTATTTTCAATTAATTTTCGCCTACTGCTACGGTCGCTTGTTGCGATAGTGATAATAGCCTTTGTTGTCACTTTCGCTCAAATTGTGTACCCAATACTGAAAGTCTTATTAAGATCGTTTCTGCCGAACATACAGACAGATGATATATTATACCTAATGTTGTTTGGCGATCGTGAAATATGTTTTGGGCCATGATTTGGGTAGGTATCGAAATACCAGCAGAGTACATAACATGATGTTCAAACCTTTCAATTTATTTATAAGTACAGATTTTCACCCATGTTGGCGAAATACTTTACAAACATCTTAGTTTTTTATAAAGAACCTCTCTCCTTTTATAAAAAGTTTTTATTATACGTTATGGAAGAGTTATTATTCTAAGTGTGTAAAGTAAATGTGTTATATATTTATGTGTAAACTACAAATCTAGTAGGAGTAGCTAAATAAATAATGTGGTAAAATTATAAGTATTTATTGCACAGACTAAAGCCAAATGCCAAGATAATGAGCCTGAACAAACAACACGTTCTCATCTTCGACGCGGTCGTGCTGCCGGCGACAGTAAGTTACTCTATCAGCAATCGCTTATACGCTTATACTTGTCTCTGAAGACAAATTATTAGCTATACATATAATAAAATTGTTAGGTATTATACGCCGAATCTGTACATTAAATATTTTTTGGAATACCTTATTGAAATAGACATTATTATCGATACAGAGGCACCTATACTTTTAGAATTTTTGTCTGCCTGTCAACAGACAGCAACGTCAACAACCGCATCACAGAAAAACCACTAGAGGGATTTTGATGAAATTTGGTATGGTGATAGCTGGTTATCCGGGTTAACATATAGGACTTTTTACCGCGAGAAAATATCTTATTCCTGAGAAAAAATTCAAAAACTGATTAGAATAAAAACACGATGATACTTTATACTAACATTTTAGCAAGATAACTAACTAAACATGGCAAAAACTAGTAAAAAAGCTTATGTTGAAAAAAAAATCAATAGCGCGATTTTATTCATTAAAATAAGTCCAAAAACATTTATTTATGTGTTATTTAGATATTCGTCAATAGATGTCGCCATGTGTCTACAAAATACGTAGTTTTAATTACAAAAAATTGAATGTACAGATATTGAATGTTTCTTTGCTTTTATTAGAATTACTATTAAATTACCTACGACCCCGCCCGTATTCAAATTATTAGTAAAATAAACTTTTTGGCTTTATAAATTAGTAACATTATTATTAGTAATATTTTGTTAGCCGAAACAATTTTCAAATGGAAATATTTTTTATTTTGTAGTAAATAATGTTCATGCTTATAAAACTTTTAATGTAAAAATTGGGAAAATGCAAATGGAAAATATTTCTAACTATCGCTACACAACAAATTAACATTATAGAGTTAACATTATATAATTTAAATAATCTAAATATAAATAAATTAATAGCCTATTAGTAAATAAATAATATAAAAATGATTCAGTAGTTTGAGAGTTTATCGTCCAAAACTAAACAAAAAACAAAACAGAAGTACCTATAGACAGACTACAAATGTTAAGTGCAATATTACTAAATCAAATATGATATTAACGGAGGAACCTTTGTAGCATTGTCAATCACCGCCATTATTTATTGATAATGCGGTGCGCAATGAAATTGGTATATGTAAGAGTAGCTATACCTACTAATATGTAGAACTTAAGAATTTGGTTTTTATTTATCTAAACGCGGGCGAAGCCGCGAGCAATGCTATTATATAAATATAATTGTTCTATTAATGTAAAACTCTTGACACTTTTTTCTCACTAAGCGGTACAATTTCGATGTATTAACTGATAATTATAGATAAGCATAATATGAAAATATTCATAAATTGTGTCTTAAGTTTTAATATCGTTAAGAATATGGTGTCTTTACAGCTCTCTATGTAGGTAGATGTGAAAATACCTACTGCGCTAGTGCAGTGTAAGAGCGCATAACGAGATCATTATCATTACAGTTTGAATAATTATAATAATTAATTTTTTAATTGTAATTTAATGATTTAAGTAATTTTATTACATAGCGATGTATGGACAAGGTGTACAAATAGACATACAAAATCTAGCTCACGAAGTAGCATGTGGTGATGATGAACATTCTGATGACGCATTCGATAGACACAATGATAAATATCCAGAGTAAGTGTATTTTTATTACTGAAAAAATGCATTCGACAAAATAACGATAGTATAATATATATTATATTTGATAATGTGCTTATAGGAAAATAGGAAATAACACTAAAAGATACTATGATAGTCGTCCACAATCAAAGCAAAAGGGAAGACATGTTCCAAAAGAATTATCCTCTCAAACAGGTAATATAATAATAATATTCGTACTTTAAGAAATAATTTGTATGTTCAAGATTTGTAGGGTCATCTTAACATTATAATTGCATTTTTTGCATACAAATATAGTGCCAACTCAACAATGGGTTGAAAATGCTCAAGAAAGACGGCATGACACTCCTTCTGATAATCGACGTCACGAATCATCTAATAAAAGAAGAAATAACTTAGGTAAAATATTATGATTTAGCAAATTACCTTCTCTATAATATTATCCCTATTTTCTTAGAAAATAATTTTCACCCCTATGTTTTACGTATAATATTATATTAAAGTTTCAAATTCTTAATTATTATATGTAATAGGGTCGTATGTAAAAGAAATGGACGATAGACCAGTTGTAGAATTATTTAATAAAAGCCGCCACTCTGCGGAACCTCTCCAACGGCGGCTGAATGTTAACATCACTGGGCATATGAAAGATCATAAAGGTATATTACAATATATTACTATACTAATTACTATTATAACTCTATATGATTTACAATCATACCTATGCTTATGAATATTATGATTTTCAAAAATTAATACAGATTTAAACAACCGATATGTTTGTCGTGTCGTGGTGATAAAAAAAGCGTCGGTAACCGCTCCTCCTTTACGTAGATACTTCAGTGAGCATTTATAAGGAGGATCTCATTGCTAGGTGTTCACAAGAATAACATTAAAGTTAAAGTATTGTAATTATACAATTTGTATTAAGTAGCAAACGTTAAATGTTCTACACAAATCAAGCTTTAGATCTTACCAACTTATAAACGCGAAAGTTTGTGAGGTTTGATGGATAGATGGAATGATGCTAGTTACTCTTTCATGCAAACTTATTAAGATTAGTATAATAATATCTTGCTAATATTATAAATGTGAAAGTTTAGATGTTTGAATGGATTTTTGTTACCAAATCATGTTAGAATGACTGAACGGATGTGGATGAAATTTGGCATAGAGATAGATTATAGTCTGGAATAGTACGTACATAGGCTACCTTTAACGGCTCCTATGGGATAGATTTATTTTTATTTTTCGAGAGTTTTATAAATAGTTCGAAATTTTCATTAATTTTTGTTTAGAACAGCTTTACATTTTAAGTGCAATTTTTTGCATTTTCTTTGAAAAAAAAACAAAAATTGGAAAGCGTGAAATTACTCATATATAAATTCTCTAATAATATTCTCATTGATAATACATAATCGAAAGTCATATCATCTAATCATTAGTTAAGCATGTAAAAGAACGCTATTTTAAGGTGGGGATTCCCCAGTTCATGAAGAAGAAGCAACAGGCCCCCTAGAGGATATTACGTCCAATAAACCGAAGAAACAAAAGGTACCTAAGTATTTTATTATGTTATACTAATTTCTTGACTGTTTACTTTAGCTACAATCGATTTTTTTAACTGCTACTGAATATCTTGGTTATATAACTCTATTTCCTCTTCCTATAGAAGCCATTTTTATTTCTCACGATTAAAAGCACTCATTCCAACTATAGCACATATATTCTTATTGTATTAGTGAAAGTCCCTTTAAGTTCAGCTCAGTCATTTGGGCTATTGTTTATAGCTACTTATTTCCAGAATTAACAAACCGTTGTTTAAAGTTGTTACAGCCTTGACCTCAACATAAGACAAATATTAACATTGCCCATACATATATTTACACCAGTTTGATTTAGAGAGAGCGAGGCAGGTTTTAAAATATAGCACAGAATGTTTCTGCTGCGGTAAAAATGCGAACAGTGATTCTTCTCCCTATGCAAAAGGCGTAAAGATAATAAATGTTAAACAGAGTGTCATATAAATAGTTATAGTATCATATTACAACTGATAGAAAATAATAAAAAATAATGTGATAAAATAGGTTTTTACCCGACTGCGGCGAAGCCTAAAGCAGGGTTATGTGTTTGACCTGTATGTATGTGTGTATGCACCTATATCGATTCATGTTTCCTCGAAATTACTAAACGACTTAATCGACTTCGACGATTCATACATCGTTAGAATCGTCTTGATAAAGTGAGTGTCATAGCATATAATATAGATATTATTAAAAAACAAAATGGCGGATTCTAGACGCCAATTTATGTTTTTAAAATTTTTTTTCTTCGGAATCAATCGAGTGGGGTATCAAAATACAGTTTTTTAAGAGCCAATTACAAAAATATATATAGTTTATATGTTTAGAAATAATTTATTTACAAAAAAACCGACTTCGTAAAAAGCGAACTACAAAGGTAAGGAGAAGTTGGCCTAGAAACAACATTATGCAGTCGGAGACATATTACCTATATAGGTACATGTTTTATACTAGCTGCGAGTTTTGCTACGTGTATTGTATGTATCCGATTGCATAAAACTGTTTTTCCGTCTTCTTGTTCTTATCTTTTTGTTCGCTTTTTACGCAGTCGGGTTTTTATTAAAGTTCTAAACCTAATAGGGTAGACGCAAATACCATAGCCGGCGTTACGAAATGCCCACGGTGTCCTCGCAAATGAAGCAGGCAGGATTTCGCTACTACTACGGTAACACTAACCGCACAAACATTCCCTTCATAGTGAGCAAAAGCACCGCACCATCTCATAACATAGGTGTTAATATACAACAGGTACTTAAATATTGATGTTTGATACATTTTATATTTGTATGAAACAAAAATATGAAGTTCAATTCTTTCCCCAAAATCAGGTTTTAAACGGACTCAAAGTGCAACAGCCATTATCTGGTATACCTTTGACCATCGCGCATCATATGGGTATGGATTCTGAATTATCTTTGTTAATTAACTAGTGGCTAGCATGTACAGTAGTTTCGAAGGTTCTGGGTTCGAGCCCAGAATCGGGCCATTTATAGTGATTGGGGGTTTCCCATTTCTGTCAAGAAATACTCAGTAGTCACGGTGTATATACACATCTATTCGACGAAATCTCATCTCATAGGACTTAGAGAGCAATAGGAGAGGTGCGTTCATACTTGTGCCCTATAATATGTGCTGCATTGCCTAGTTTCAGTGAGATTAAAGAGAAACGGACAGTAAAACTTTTATAAATTATAAATTACTGTAGGAGAAATAAATAAAATTAGCCGATGTTTGTTTTAAATAAAGTGCTTAATAATATATGTCCTGACAATTTCATTACAGGATTGCGACATGTACCAACACATGGTACGAAGAGCGCTACAATAGTAAGCTTAATATAATATTATTTTTTTATTTTTTTACGTTTAAGATTTCTCAGAGATGAGATATTTTTCCACAGTAAAAAGTATACTATATGTTGACCCGGATAACCAGCTATCATCAAAATCTGTTCAGTGGTTTTCCAGTGATGCGGTCACAGACAGATAGACAGACAAACATTCTAAAAATTATAGATTCAGTCTTTGTATCGTTATGATTTTCAATAAGATTTTCCAAAATATATATATATATATATATATATATATATATATATATATATATATATATATATATATATATATATAGATCTATTCAATCACTTAATTTCTATATCATTTTCTCTTTCTCATATTTATTGAAAAGCTTCTTCGCCGTTGATTATTTCAAGAGATCATTTCTAAATACGTAACAATTAATTTATAATAACATTAGAAACAATAATAACTTTCTTAAACTTACGCGAATATTTGACATTTTAAATAAAACTATCTTTTCGTATTATTTCGTGGATTTATTTTGATTTTTGGTTCCTGACGTTTCGAATGCTTTACAGCAATCATGGTCACGGGAGAGACTAAGGTTATAGACGTCTCAAACACATACTTATTACAGACAGTGCCTACCCACAAGTACCCAAATCCGCGATATAATCCGAAAAGATAGTTTTATTTAAAACAATAATAACTTTAGGCAATCAAGCAAGAATTGAGTCCGCAATGAATTTCAGGAGCCAATGTTACATAACAACGAGATTAACGTGATCAAGTTGGGTCGGAAGATGTTAAGGCTTCCTTCATACAAGTACATGTCGTACAATCGCCTATTGATGCTATACCGGGAAGGCGACGGTGTCGTACCTCGGTTCCTACGAGCTATTAGCCGACCGAATTATTTTTATACTTCCATGTACAAGTAAGTGTCATAACCTACTTATACAGTCACGTGCAAAAATATGTGACCATGGATAGTTCTGTAATAATATCTGATTGCACGATTCATTCGTTCATATCTTTTCTCACGCTGTCAGCAAAAACATGTGACATCAAAAGAACACCAACACTATCTGACTAAACACCTTATGCAAAATGTAGGATGCAACATCGGTTTTAAAAATATCTGACACCTCTTATATGTATAAATATCGCACATGTTTTGCGTTATTAATATCCGCATTCTCAATAATCAAAAATGTGACATCACGCAGGCAAAATAACAATAATACTTCAAATTTTAAGTTAAAATAAAGTAGTTTATAACTTATTTAAAAATTTACGAGTACGTGTTAAAATAATCTACAATTTATTTTATATCACTATAATAAGCAGCCTAGCGACTAATCGTGAAGATTTCGACGCAGCGACATCTAAGGGGCAAGTCGAACGTCAGGCGGCGAAGCAGACTTTAGTAGAGTATGCTAATTTATACCGTGAATACCAACGTGTGGATAAATCCCTTAATGAAAACTATAATCCCGAGCTCGAGGCGCGTAAGGATGACTTGGCGAGGCAAATGACCGCGCGCGAAAGCTTTATACGAAAGGTAACAGTTAAAATAAAGTTTATGACATAGGAGTAAGGAAATTCTGCCTTAACAACTGTTTTATAGAAGTTCTGTGTTAAATTGATATTAAGTACTTGCCTAAAAATAACAATGTAGTTAGATATTTAGTTTCTAAATTCTTGTTTAAAATTATTTATTCTGTTTCGTCGTCGATCTCTCAGTGCCATAAATACCTATAATAATAATATGTGAGAAATAATGGATATATTTGGTAGTAACATTCTTAAATTACTTGCTTTCAATGATATTTAAATTTAGTAAAAAAATATTTTTTGTGCCTACTTTATATACATAACGGAAGCGGTATGAGAAAGGTCTAGGAATACATTTCCTTTCATACATTCGAGTTTAATCAAGATCATGCTTATTTGTTTTCATAATAATCCGAATAGGGTTTTTAAGTGTATGAACTGGACAGGACATTCTTTTATATACAGACATAATTAACAGATCTGAATTTAAAGTTAATTCATAAAAGTCGAAGGCGTACGGTACTCACTATACGAACCTGACTCACAAAATAATATGGCGACCCCAATCAAAGAAACCCATCTGATGTAGCCCTTACAATAGACAAATCCTTCAGATGTGGTTATATTGGGGGAGATCTTTTGCATTTTCTTTTCTATTTTTCAATATGTCGAAATCATGTCGTTAATCATAATAATGAGTTCATTCCGGACCAACATCGTGACACGGAAATTTTATATACATATATATAATATTAATATTATATATGTATATATATATATATATATATATATATATTATATATATATATAAGAATTGCTCGTTTAAGATATAAGATATAGTTTATGACAACTTTTTCCCTCTGACGTGTAGGCAACCTTTTGTCATAAAAAATGACTGTAGACTATAATAATTACAGAAAACAAATTTACGGGAAAATAGCAATAATAACATCATATTATATTGTAGCAGTAGTATATAGATATGAAAAGTAAGAGGTGCGGTAGTTAAATATATGACTACAGTTTTGCTGCATCAATATATATATATATATATATATATATTGATGCATATATATTTAACTGTAGGGGGTAATTTCTCTGCTGGTTGTTGATGATTAAAATATGAAATTCTATGATAAGTCCTATTTTAATGCATTCTTTAAATATAGTATATTTTTATACTATTGCAGGTAGTCCAGGAATACCAACCTGAGGACGAAGATCTTTTAACTCTTCGGGCGTCGGCTTCCACGGGGCAGGAGGCCTACCGCAATTCAAATTTTAGTCTACAACCAGATAATGTTAAATAATGCGTCAATATTTGGTACGCATCAGAATAGTTAAATTACAAGTCGGTCTAACATCGTTAATATTTTTAATAAATTAAATATCCTGTCCTCGTCTTTAATATAAAGCCAATAAAGAAATTATAGTAGTCTCTTCAGTCGAATGTAAAACATTAGTCATCTATCTATAAATAAACTGTAGTGATTGCATACGCCATTTGTATTCTTTGATTAGACTAAGTTTAGTAAGAAAATGTAGTATAATGTTTTTTTTGTTAAATAAAGAGCAGGATATTTCATTTCTATAACAATATTGCAGTTAAACTGAAATTTGTATTGTGTGTTTGTTTAAATGAGCTTCGGGCTTATATTTAATTTTCATAATATATATATATTTTAAATATGTACGTTTTATTTTTTTATTGAAATTATAATTTCACAGATTATTATTAATTAGATACACCAACCAACTACTCATGAGCATTAAGTCATATCTTTACATACATATAAGCATGCATTTTCATAGACAATTATTATTTTAATCTAGATATCAATCCAACATAACATAAGATTATTAACATTAATTAAACATACATATATTTACACAATTTTCAAATTTAACAATTTTATTTTTACCGGTTTGTACCTAACATTAAAATAGTAGCATAAAATGACAATTTTGCAGAAATTTGTGTTTACGGTTATCATAGTATTTATAAAAAGAGAGTTGGAATACGTATTAGCAGAGCGTACACTTCCAGATGAGCAAGAGGAAATAATTATATTGAATAAACTACATAATAGGCATACGGCATATATGAGTTAGTGACCAATTAACATGATTTTGTGAAGATACATCTTGATACAAATTTGATTAAAACACTAATGCTATAATATCATGTGCCTCATTTTAATTTTTTTAGGGTAAACAATGTTTCTAGATTACTTTATTTGAAAATTAAATACAAAATAACGACAGTGATTTAAAAGTACTAAATATTACCATGTTATACTAAAAAGTACCGTTATAATTGGTAACAGTACTCAGTGATTTATTCTTCGTTTATAATGTGTCAATTGCTTATAGTAAAATGCAGATGGAGCTTATTTATTTTATCACTAGTTTTCACCATATAATATATTATATACATTGCATTTCACCGACATACCTATTTTTGCTTATTTATTTCTAAAAGCTCAATAATTAACTATAAAATAACATAATATATAATTTATTTTAATATAGAACTAATAAGTTTAATATAAAAATCCACTTTATCCAAAAAAGAAAATTATAAAAGGAACAAGTGTTTTACCTAGTTATATTTTAAGTTTTCAGATTCCTATAATTAAAATCCTACAGCTACATTATTTTTGAAATATTTATGGAAATATTTATTTATACATTTAGCAATTGCAATATGCAAAGTTAGCACTTGCACTATATAATTAGATTTTGCTATATGGGTATGTCAAGAAGTCTTGACGTAAAAAATATAAGCCGAGAGACGACAATAGAGTCGAAATATTATCATCAAATTTTTCATTTACATGAAAATCATAAATGTATTAATTTAATATTTTACTGACAATATCGTCGATTTAAAATGTTTAGTTTCAATTTATGATTTACAGGGCGAGGAAGTTGTGTTGGGGAAATGGGTAGAGATTTACTTTATAATTTTAATTTAGTTGCGAGAATCAGTGGAAGAAGGCATTTCGCCGTCGATCTTGTGACGAGCATGAGCGTAGGCATCGGCGAGTGCAGGCCAGGCGTCGGTCCCGGCGGCCCATTCCGATGTGCTCACTTCAGCTGGCCTTTCCACGTTCTCTGTTTTGGTGCACTCAAGAGACAACGGTTTTGGAGTTTCAATCCTGTTTAATATAAAAATTTCTTAGTTATACTTATTTTATATTTACAAGAATTTACTTGAGTTAAGGTAATGATATACATCAGTTAACCTGTATTTCTTTTTATAACTAAGTTTATTATTCTGTAAATATCTGGATGTTTCTCTACAATAAAAACTTTTTAACAAAAAAATAAAAACCGACTTCAAACAAAAGCACTAAAAAGTAAAAAATAACTGATTGGTAGTTTTCATTTACTATACATACCTAATCAAATATTTTCGAAGTCGGTGTGCTTTGCTTTGTATGGGCTGGCACCGATTTCGAAAATATTTGATTAGGTATGTATTTAATAGGTAGGCTTTAATTACTTAGCCAAAGCACACCGACTTCGAAAATATTTGATTAGGTATGTATAGTAAATGAAAACTACCAATCAGTTATTTTTTACTTTTTAGTGCTTTTGTTTGAAGTCGGTTTTTATTTTTTTGTTAAAAAGTTTTTATTTTTCCCTTTTTAGTGTAGACAGTAGTAGCAAAGTAAGGATTCTAACGTGTTAGGCTTGTCAAATCAAACAAAATAAGCCCAAATTCAAAGTATCTACTATTAGCCGTTGAAAAGTTCCACCTATCCACCTTCTGGCCTTGCCATCAGATCAGGTCAACAACACCGAACCACTGTACTATCAACGGAAATAGAAATACTTGCAAAGTTTCAAGTCAATATGACAATTAGAAGTAGGTTAAATCCATAATTAGCTATTTTTCCACCCTTAGGGGTGGTATTTTTTTTTTAAATTTAAATGGGACCAATCTGGAAGTACACCCTTTCAAACAAAACAAAAATTGTCCAAATCGGTTAATAAATGACGAAGTTCTGAGGTAACAAACATAAAAAAAAAAAAAAATACAGTCGAATTGAGAACCTCCTCCTTTTTGAAGTCGGTTGAAAACTAGCTACGTTTACTCGTTGGATGTACATAAAAAATACCTCACGCGCTCAGGCGACTGCATCGTATCGTTCGTGCTCGATATTTCCAGATCCTCAGCATAGCTGAGGTGTATTTTATCTCCGTCATTGCGTTGATCTTTTTCTGAAAAAGTGTATAATAATAGAGATGATTTGGGCTTGAAGATGCAGAAATATGACGTTATAATTATTTAAGTTTAAAATGATATTGTTACCATCAACGTTGATGGCCGCCTCGGGCCAGCCGAGGGAGTCGCCTTCTACGTCAACGGGCTCGTCTTCGGCGTCATAAGTGCGCGACTCACGAGGCCGCTCTTCACGCCGCTCATCTTCGAGGTCATATCCCAACATACTCTCAACAGTATGATGGCGCTTGCGACTACGCAACTTTAATCGTCTCTGCCTGTTAGCTCTTATTCTTTGGTAAGTCTGTTTAAATAAAACCGTATTTATTATAACATCGCTAAATATGCATTTAATATTCTTTACAATAAGAAAAAACTTTTCACCTCCCAACGAGCATCCTCATCTTGATGGTGCAAAGAATGTGAAGGAGCAGTGGCATCTCGTGGTATTGCTGTCAAACTATATAAATGTTGTAACTCCTGCAGGAAATGAGCCTGTGCAACTCCTGGACCTAGCCGTGCGCCGCATACGCCACAAGCTGATTTACGTTCCCCATCGGCTAAACATGAATGTGAACATTAGAGAAAATAACTATGAATGAGTATCGTTCAATCCATAAATATTATAGTTATTATCGGTACAACATCATTTAATAGAAGAATTATATTTGACTAGCATTGCCCGCGGCTCCGCCCGCGTTCAGATGACCAAAAACCAAATTCTTTGATTTTACATATTACTATACTCTTGATATTGCGGTTTTTGTATTTTTTCTCAGAAATGAGATATTTTCCCGCGGTAAAAAGTATCCTATAGGTATGTTGACCAGGATAACCAGCTATAACTATACCAAATTTTATCAAAATCCCTCCAGTGGTTTTTTTTGATGCGGTAACAGACAGACAGACAAACAAAAATTCTAAAAACTATAAATTCGGCCCCTGTATCAATCAATAATGATGTTTATTTCAATAAAGTTTTCCAAAAAATATTTAATGTACAAATTCGGCTTAGTTACAATTTCATTACATGTACAGATTAGCGTATTGAAAAGACATACGTGAAAATAATTCATGTGAATCAGAGCAAGTGGCAGTAGCTGGCGGATCCTCGTCCTTACAGGGGCGCGGTGAAGCGGACGCGGCCGAGCCAGGCGAGCTCGTGTCATCGCGGACCGCGTAGCCATGTCGATACAGAGGTGGAGTACTATTATCGTCGCGTACACTCTAATAGATATATTAATACAATTAATTTTTCATTAATCACAACAGCATGAATATAAACAAAATTTATTATGACTATTATAAATGATTAAGCTTGGATCCTGTGTTAATTTACAAAAATATACTCACTCTCAGAGCTTGACCGACACTTTGACCGAGAGCGTACTGTTCACCCAAATGTCTTGCAAATGCTTTTCCGGGATATAGGGGATGAAACGCGCCCCCTATTGGCCTAAACGCTCCACATCCAAAACTCTGCAACGCTGGGTGCAAAAACTGCGGTGCCATATGATGAAGGAAACCCTCCATAATGCCCTCTGCCCTCTACAAAATGTTTCACAAATTATTATTTTTGAACCTGGGTTATAATCCTATGCGCACAGCGATAATATAATAGTACAAAACTCGTTAATTCTCTTACTATTATCTCTTGCAAAAGTTTAAAGTCACAAATCAACCGCAACAATTTTTTCGTAATATGGTAATATCCTATACTATTAAACGAGCAATATTTGTATATATATGAAATTACATTTGTAATCACGTTCTCGAAAACGGCTCTAACAATTTTGAAGAAATTTGCAATATACGGGCTTACGGGGACGAAAAATCGATCTAGCTAGGTCTCATTGCGTAATGGTTAAAGCGCCAACAATTTACTACCACGCCGAATGTCAGAAGTTTCTGTTTTTATTTTTATAATATTAAATGAGCAATTCTTGTTTATTTTTATATAAATTTATTTCGTGTATATCGGAAACGGATCTAAATATTTGGATCAAATTTTTATTTAGATGAGGTTTTACTTTTTAAGTTTATCTATATATGTAGGTATATTTTCTGAAGTTTGGTCATCCAGAGATGGTAGACTTTATGCGTATGTCACTATAGTTTACGAGTATATATTTGGGCCCCTAGAGAGCAGACCAATGCACCCGGATAATAGGACCGCATTAGACAAAAGTACATTGAGCAAAATTCAAAGTTTATTAAAAAATAAATTAATTTGTTTACTATACTTATAAAAAAGGTGGTTAAGTTTCAGCACTAGTTATCAAAAATATTATAATATTTAAACAGTGACATGGATTTAATAATTAATTAAACATTAATTAACTTATTTATAGGTAAATGAAAAAATTCTGACAAGTACGGGAAATTTTCCTGTAGATCTGAAAAATTGAACTAATTTTAATCAATCCACGGTCAGTTACGGTAAAGCTTCCCGAAACCAGTTCCTGTGGCCGAGTGCTATAATTAGATGTTATACAAAAACAATGAACATTGAACACAAAATAAAAGATAATATTTACCAAAGTCTATAAATTATCGACAACATTGACACCCCAAAAAAAAAACCAAATTAAAAACAAATATCATTTAATTTGTTATTAAGAACTTATTTATTGGTGAATGTAACATTCTTAGAAGTACGGAAAATTTTCTCGTGGATCTGAAAACTTGAACTAAACTGATCCACGGGTCAGCTACGGGAAAGCTTCGCGTAGACCCGTAGCTTGCGTGAATAGTCCCAGCCAATTTTTTTACGGGAATAAATTGTTACGTCTTGCCACCCGTTTTCATAGATATGACGAATCAAATGATTATTCAATAACACCCTGCGCTTTCATCGTGATCAATTGATATGTTAAGCTTAAAGAATAAAAAATATTATAATTATGTAGATGAAAAAGAAAAAAGATACATAATAAAAAATCTTTAGTAAAAATAACATTAAAATCATACGCATTTTATGACTATAAAGTCTTTGAGATGAAAAAAAAAATCTAGGCATATTTTTATTTCTATGAAACAACTATTGAGCAAGCTTGGATAATGGATTTATCTCATTCCCACTTCTACTATAGCAAATATATAATTATTATTTTTAGTGTCATAAAAACTGTACTAGTATAGTACTATACAATAGCATCATTGTTGACTGATCTCAAAAACCTATGGGTATAGGTTAAAAGCAAAATGCAAAAATGACTTCTACTTTTCCTGAAATTTATTTTTATTTAAAACAACGTCATAGTTACGTCTAATATATGAAGAAAGCGTTTTACAAAAGTGGTCGTTTAAGATGACCAAAGAAAAACAAACAATGAGATTTATAGCCGCCGAAGAATAAAATTACAAGAATAGTTATAGCTGTTTATTTTGAAAGCAATCGCATTAGTAACATGTTTCTCGGGAGTATTTGGGCCGGTAACACGGGAGGGCTTCCTTCTTGAAACAATAAACGTCCTCTGTTATGTATGTATATGTGAACTTAGCCACCGGTTCTTAGAATTGCGTAATATTTAATTTGATCTTTTCAATGATTTTGGTTGCCAAATTCCAGGTAGTTTTCAACCGACTTCAAAAAGGATGAGGTTCTCAATTCGAATGTATTTTTTTTTTTATGTTTGTTACTTCAGAACTTCGTCATTTATTAACCGATTTGGACAATTTTTATTTTGTTTGAAAGAGTATACTTCCAGATTGGTCCCATTTAAATTTCAAAAAAAATACCACCCCTAAGGGTGGAAAAATAGCTAATAATGAATTTAACCTACTTCTAATTGTCATATTGACTTGAAACTTTGCAAGTGTTTCTATTTCCGTTGATAGTACAGTGGTTCGGTATTGTTGACCTGATCTGATGGTAAGGCCAGAAGGTGGATAGGTGGAACTCTTCGACGACTAATAGTAGATACTTTGAGTTTGGGCTTATTTTGTTTGATTTGACAAGCCTAACACGTTAGAATCCTTACTTTGCTACTACTGTCTACACTAAAAAGGGAAAAATAAAAACTTTTTAACAAAAAAATAAAAACCGACTTCAAACAAAAGCACTAAAAAGTAAAAAATAACTGATTGGTAGTTTTCATTTACTATACATACCTAATCAAATATTTTCGAAGTCGGTGTGCTTTGCTTTGTATGGGCTGGCACCGATTTCGAAAATATTTGATTAGGTATGTATTTAATAGGTAGGCTTTGATTACTTAGAACTGTCCACCCTAAAGGGTCTTAATGTGCCAGACACCAAAATGCTTCTAACCCTAGGTTTCCTCCTGATCCATCCAGCACAAGATACTAATAACAAGGATCGAGCATATGCGTGGCACTGATAAAAAACTTTTAAGTTTCACCTTCACTATATAAACTTTCGGTTTCCTGTACTAAGCAGCCATTAAAGCTGCTGAAAAGAATGTCTGTGCGCTAGCGCACTATTTACAGGTGAAAGCAGATATTCTGTGTTCTTTAATCGCATTGAATATAAATGATTAAATGACGATCTTAGTTTACGACGTTAGAAACAAAATGTATCACCTGTTTCTTGACATAAGAAAGTCCAACGGCTCCGACTATATTTCGGATATTGTGTTTTAGATATATATTCCGGAGTTGCTCAGTATCTTGCCCCGTTATGTTGCAATTTTATTATTATAAGTATTAAGCACTGTCATGGGGACCACATCTGCACTGATATTCTCTTTCACAAGATTTTTAAAATTTAATAGTGTTCGCTTAGTGGTCAAAATTCAACCATAATCATTATTGAAGAGAAAAATATACATACATATGAATAGAATTTAGCTATCTATAAAAAAATGAATGCGTCTAACCGGGTATAATTTTCGCGTGGTTGAAGTAAAATTTAAACAATTAAATTAAAACAAATGAAAATATAAATATAATATTTTTTTATAAATTATTAGTAATAAATATTAATTTTTCAAAGTATTAAATAACTATTACAAATTTATTAATAATAATTAATAATTATTGTAAAAATATACATATAATATATTTTTTAAATATATTAATAATTTTAATGCCCACTTCCGCGACACTCATTTCTGCGATACTCATTTTTCCAATGTATTGACTTACTCCTTAGTCACACCTAAAGAAATTTTAAAAAATCGGTTAATAAACAGAGAAGAAGGTAGGTACTGCACTATTTTGTATTTGCTTATTTATATATAGATATTATTAACTGAAGATAATTTACGCTTTAGAGCTTCACTAGCCAGGACATTAGCTTGGTAGTATATCCCGGGACACCTATAGGTATACCTACTTGTTAACACAATTAATACATTTACTTCAAACAATAAGATACATATATACATAGATGTTAACGATAGCCCTTGCAATATCGACTCCAATTAGCACATAGGTAATAGGTGAATCGGCTACGTCGTAATCAATCGGATAGTAAACAATGATGTCCTTTGAGTCAGAATGGGGGTGTGTTGTCTTTAGCTTCTACAAACAGGGAACCACGTGCCCGGCGCTTGTTTTGTCTCCTATGTTAACACGAAGTAACTATTCGATATTGTTTGTTAATATAACTAAATATAAAAATCATCGTAGAGCAGTTATTTTTAAGCTTATTTTTTTTATTTTTACTAATTTACCTATCCATAATTTGATACATTATTATATTATAGTTTTGATTATTTCAACGTAGACTTAGACCTAAATTGCATAGCAGAGTCTGATGCATGTGGGTAGATAGTTTTGTAATCAATGCGACAATCTTACCTTAATAGGGATCTAACGTTTACCGCACTTCACATTGATAGGTGTTATGCAAATGGCCACTCACGTGTTCTACTGAACCTGATACAGAACGATCTAGGTACTTGGAACACTTTACCATTTATATAATTGCCTTTGACATTCTAAGGATATCTTAATATAATAATGATTGATCTAATTTAGCTGCAGTATTGTAGGCAATGTACATTATGTAACAAAAGCATAGCGATCTAAAGATGTTTATTACTTGTTTTATTTTTTTATACTCGCTAGATTCCGAAAGTGATTTGAAATGCGTACCTAAATGTCAAATAAAATTAATGAACTTCTGCTGAATATTAAATTTACAAGAATACGAACATCATTTTTAAAAATAACCCGCTACAATGCTGCAGTAATGCTAGTTGTATATAAAAAAATGATATTGATTAAATATGCTATGAACTTAGCAATCTTGCAGTCTGATCTTGATCCATTACGGATACTTTAAACGCCCGCCATTTCGCGCTTGACGTGATGTCACAGTATGATATACCTACACAGAAAAATGACAACTCAATTTGTAGCGACAATATTGCTAATAGTGATAACACTTTGAAGTTTGATGTCATATTCGATCTGACCAATACTTCGATCAACAATATTACTGTTGATCGAAGGACCAATAGATACTTTGATTTTCTCATGTTTTGCATTTTTAATAACTATTATTTTCTTCGTCAAAAAGAAATTACATTATAAAGTATTAATGTAGGCTTCATTCAAAAGCAATAAATATTGTAAAAAAATATATTTCACTTTTATTTAAATTAACATGCATATTCCTTATTCTTTAAATATACTATGTGCCTGAAATAAAACGTAGAATAGATGTACTAGATAATTGAGTTTCATAGTAAAGTGGCCGCGTCGGTAATGCGCCTTTGTAAGCAACGACTAGAACAGTTGGTGCTTGTTACGTGCCGCTATGATCTCAAGCGGCGGGCTACGTGCAAACCTAAACAATTGGGAAAAGAATAGTATGGCGCAGCAATAAATACACCTACTAATGTAAACTTTATGAAATGATACATTTGGTGCATTCGCCTTCATACGTCCGTTTGTCTATTTTCAGACATAAGTGTGTGCTAGTTCAAATTAAGTGTAGGTACATGTAATTCATATTCAATAGGTACATTCTAAGTAGATAGTGCCGCCATCTTTACATCGCAATAATATTTGCAACATGTAAAACGCCTACTTGGTACGCCAGGTTTATTTGCACAAGCTGAAATTATTAACGATTTCCCTTTCACGCAGTATTTAAAACGGACAAAACAAACAAAATCTTAGATGCCATTTTTAAACGACTTAATTTAAGCATACAAATTACAAGTAATATATATTTATAATATGATCAATTCAATATGTAAAAATTAAAATTATAAAGCAATAAATTATAAAAATAATGCCACCATATATACCTATTTACAAAAGTAATTGAATAATTTCTCTGTTATAAAACTCACTAAATTCAGAATTATATCTAATAATCTCGTGAAATATTAAGCGATCATATTGACAAATATTTGAAATTTATCTTCAGCTCATTATTTAAAATATGTTCAAAAAAAACTTGAACCAGATTTTGCTTAGAACCACCACTATTTAAATTGTATAATATTGTACTACCTATTAAAATTTCCTTTGTAATTGAACATTGTTCTTTTTGGAAATAAAAATTATAAACCCTAAGGCATTCATTCAAATCAATAGGAGACGTCTGATTTTCTCGGGTATATTCTTTTCTTGGATTACTTCTACTACAACTGCGTCTACCTACAAGGATTGCAATTACAGAAACTTTTTCATAATGTGTAACTTATCTTGTGATTGGCCAATAAGTGGGCAATAAAACGAAGCGTATGGCGGTTGAAAGAAATACTGCTGGGCCTGATTTATGCGTGATAGGAATGCGCCCCTTTTTCAATAAGCCTCGATAAGAATCATTGCCTAGAGCCGCGGAACGGCTCGCGCATGTAATTAAATGTTTTTTACTAAAAACATCGTTTCTGAATTATTTCCTTATAAGTTTTAACTTAAGCTAGAAGCTATGCAAAATGTAATTTTAAATTCTGTTATTTAATATGACGTATAGCTTTCTCAGTCGGGTAAGCATTGAACACCGAAAAAATTCTTGGCCAAATTTTCTTTTACTAGCCTTTAAGGGGTCACTGGGAGTGTATAAAATTGCGATTAAATTTGAGCGGTGCGTTAGCCGCCATCTTAATTTTAAGGAATCGTTTTTTCCTAATATCTTGACCATTTTTAACTTTTCAAGAAAAATCATAAGGTCAAACTAAAGTAGTTCATTATTCAATTCTTCATTTTATTTGTTATTAATTTTTCGTGCGATCGATATTTTCCGAATTACCTAAGGGGGAAATGCAATTATTGAATTATCTCATTTATTTATTGACTTTAGGGCCTAAATTTTGAACTCTACCATTATTTAAGGTCCGATTTTTTGAGAAATACACCGTGCTATGGGGTATGTTTTCGACTATATTCAGGAAAACCCTGTCGTATGTCAAATTAACCTGAATAAGCCGATGGAAATGATTGAAGGAAAATTTAATCCGGATCGAAAGATAGTTAAAAAACATCTACAAGACAAATAAGTTGTATGCTTGAGGTTTTGAAATTATTATGTCTTTTCGTAACACTGGTCACAAAATTCTCTCGCAAGATTAGCATGCGGCAAAACAATCAGACCTTAAAGAAGAAACGTTGAGAGTCGTTCATAAAGCAGCTGCTATCATTTTAGAAGATATACATTCCACACTTTATGAAACGAGATCGTACGTACTTAGATAATTTCATGGATAACCAGGACGATTATCTATCATCATCATCCATCCCTATTATTATATTTCTGAAGTTGATATTAACCATTTAGTCTATATTCTCTGAAGTTGCTTCTCCGGGAATTAGTTTTAAAATTTGAAAGAAAGAAGAAAGAAAAAATGTACTTCTATTGCCTATGCAATTATATCTAAAGCTCGTCTTCGATTTTTTTACTGCTTCATTGAAAATAGACGTTGGTGCTTAGTTGAACAGAAAATTCGTCTCGAAAAAATTGATTAAGGGTCTCTCATCATTGGATGTTTGCTCATCATACGAAGTAATCTCAATATACGAAGCCTGAATCTTAAATATTGGTTCTACAAAAAAAATGGTAAAGATCAAAATTGTCGGAATTTTAATTCCACACAACTCTGTTTTCAACTTTGTTTATATTTAGGCCATAAATTCAATAATAAACGAGATAATTTAATAACTACATTTCCCTGTTTTTCGTCCTTAACATGGAAAATATCGATTGCGAAAAAATGAACAACAAATAAAATGTTGAATAATGAACAACTTTAGCCTTTTTACCTTATGATTTTTCTCGAAAAGTTGAAAATAGTTGAGACATTACAAAAACGATTCCCCCTTAAAATCAAGATGACGTCTAACCGCGTCTCACCGCTCGAATTTGGTCACCAGTCACGGTAAAGCCAGCCATACACGCTAGGGTGATGCTGAAAGTATGTCTGTAACACGTCAACTGGACAGGCAAACCAGAGCGTGTGTGTTGCACAACTGTGCAAGTTCTACGCCTGTACAGGAGAATATAAAAAATATGAATTTTAGTATTTTTTACCCGTGGGTATACCTGTGCAGTTGAACTGTGCAGGCAAACCTGAGCGTGTGTGGCGGTCGCCTGCGCAGGCCTCAGTTGTCCATCCGGTGATTGCGAGAGGAGAACGACGCGCATTGCCCTACAGTATGTCATCGACTCGTAAGTAGAACTCAGTCATAGAATAGTTTATAGACATTTACAATTGAGTATTGTCTTTGGCGCGTAAAATCTAAAGATTATCATAATAAAAATAAAAGAGTGGCAGCCTATGAAAAATTAACAGAAAAGTTGAAGGAGAATTGGAGTCAAATGCCACAAAGGTTGATTTAATAAAAAATAGATTTTTAGATTTCCTAAAACAAACAATAAACCAATTAACGCTACTGCGTCGATAATCGATATCAAGCGCCGCGGGCGGGGCCATGGTTTCAACTGAGAGTTTTTATAGGTTTTCCGCTACGTGTATGGTCTCTACTCACTTCGAGTTTGCCTGAACAGTAGAACTGTACATGTATACCTTTCAGGTTCACCCTAGCGTGTATGGCCTGCTTAAAAGTAAATAAAGGCTGGTGAAATATAATTGTGGCGTAGATTTTTTCAGGATTAGTATCTTATTTTCGACAACCCGACTGCGTTAGTGGTTCACTCTGTTTTGACGTGAAAGAAGGAAAAACAAACAAACACACTTTTACATTTATAATATTAGTATGGATGTGTTGAATTTCGGTAAACTAAAGGTTTTAATATAATATATTTTACTATTACCGTACATATTTTTTGTTATACTTTACTTTTGTAAACTATTTTATTTATTATAGGTAAATATATGTTATTATTATTTATGTAAATTCATAAAATAAATATTATTATTAATTATTAAGATTAGAATGATAGTTTCGTGTTTATTGCTTTGCTATACTAAAAGTTAATGGCATTGCTAAGTCCTGCCAAACAATGGGACAAGGGACCTCAGGAAATATTTGTAACCTAAACCTGAATAATATATAAAGTCTACGACTAACGTGTGCCCTCCACAGTATTTCGCTAGAATAGATTAGTATTAGATTAGTAGTATTATAGTTTCGTCAAATTTATTGTTACAATATCTACTACTTTTTTATAAAGTAGAGCTTTGCAGTGTTCCAAATAAAAATATGAAATAACTAAGGAGAGAGAATAGCGGTTTTTCTTCTTTTTTTTTAAATAAATGTTTATCACATGCATAGTTCAAACCCACAACAAACGTTTATTACGTTAACCTTCTTTAGCATCTGCCAACGCAGTTGTCGTTTATAATATAGTTTTCTTTATTGCTCAGTAGACTTACCGAATTTTTGTATTATAAAATAGAAAAAATGAAACACTGTTTATTCTCTCGTTTAACGTACTAACTCAGTTTAATTCAAAACATCAAAAATGCAAGCTTAAAACACATGGGATGTTACCTCAACACGCTAATCACATAAACAAAATTAATATTAATATTTTCATACTTTACGAGTATATCAGAAGTTACCACGGATTACGCGAATTTTATTTGATGAATATAAACAAATTTTTTGCTCTAAAGGTTTTTAAATTTGAAAACTTTTTTAATTCAAATTCGCATCGCGAGGGAAAATTGTTTTAGAAATCATACCATTTATTCATATTAATATTGGGAAACTTCCATGCTCATCTGGACACTGGCTGTTTCTGAAAATAAGGTCCACCACAAAATTCATCACTTTATAATGATTCTTAAAGAAAAATATATTTTCAGAGTTAGTGTAATTACTAAATTCCCACAGATTATTTAAATCTGAAGGTATATTTATACCGATTTAATTTTACACTCGTTTGTATTTAAAGCTAACATAGTACATTATCCACGTGTGCATATAAAATTTCCCTTACATTTTTGAAACTTACCTCGAAACAGCCACTCCAACACAAAACTACGCAGTGTAGAACTTTATCGCGCGCGACACGTGCTTACAGCGTGAAAATCTAGCGACGACTGCAGGGTGGCGACGCTGGGCGGACTCGCTCGTGACACGCCCCTTCACACGAAGAAAAAATAACAAACACATATAAAATTTATTGGATTTCCACGAAACGCCTCTACTCTATTCTTTAATAAACAATTTATATATTATTACACTTTTTTGCTAAAGTGACTTTCGTCTGATCGAAATTATTTGACTGTAAAATGTAATAATAATAAAAATTATACACTATGATTAAATATACAATTGTGATAAAAATATTTACTTACCATATTCATAAAAAATAAAATAATCATGTTTAAAATTAAAAAAGATGAATCTGCGAAACAACTCATGATAAAATCAATATATAAAGTGGGTCGACCATAGAAGGCCACCTTAAGAAATAAACAGTTATAATTCTTTTATATATTTAATAAATGAAACCAACAAATGATTAAGTAAGTAACACTTTATTCTATTATGTGACTTATAAAACATTTTATTTTAATGCAGAGCTAATCATTATTTTTTAAATTAAATTTAAGTTTTATTGAACTCTTCCAATATGGCGTTGCAAGAGACAGGGCTCCATACAAGGCCGATATAATAAATCAGTCAACGTAACGTTGGAGCAATCAAAATATCTGGTTATCCTTAATCATTATGAAAAGTTCTTTCATTAAAAGGAAACATTAAATACATAACAAAATATGTTCACATAAAAAATAATCAACGAAAATTACTTGAACACTATCGTAAAACTAAGAAAGTATTTGTGAAAATGTTTTGAAAATAATTTTAACATCCTATAATAAAATTGTAACTAAGCCGAATCTGTACATTAAATATTTTTTTAGAATATCTTACTGAAATAGACATTATTATCAATACAGAGGCCGAATCTGTGATTTTTAGAAGTTATGTCTGTCTTTCTGTCTGTCTGTGACCGCATCACGTAAAAACCACTGGAGGGATTTTGATTAAATTTTGTATGATGATAGCTGGTTATCCGGGTCAACATATAGGATACTTCTTACTGCGAGAAAATATCTCATCTCTGAGAAATCTAAGCTAAACGGTAAAACACAATTCTAGGGACGAACCCGAGCGGAGCGAGGGTGAGTGGCTAGTAATAAAATAAAAAAATAAAACCGACAATAATGGCTATCTTATGGGTTTGTTCCTTGTAAGGCCAAAAGGAGTTTTAAAATAAAATCATTTAAAGCACTTAAGGCAATAATATTATGAACTTATATATTTTTTTACCTTTCCCGATTCGTATTTACAACTAAAAACTAAGTATTTACATTTTCGATATTCCTAAATGTTTCTAGCAAGGAACTTGTGCCCTGGCAAGACCAACTATCAATTTTTTGATGATCTTTTTTCGTCCTTACAAGGAACTATTGGCTTTTCTAAGAACACTTCCGATATTTTAACTAAAATTGAAATAAAATCATATATTTTTTGCTTAGTAAAATAGCAAGTCCTTATAATATATCAACTCAGATCAAAAAAAAAAGAATATAATAGTTAATTTACTTGAAAAGTAACGTTTTGCTGTGAGCTCCGATTTGAATTTTAAAGTCTACGAAAAAGTCAACAAAGCGAGGGACCGCATTAAAACAAACCAGCAGCGCCAGCGACTAGCCGCTGCGTCTGAGTGCTTAAGTTCTAAGGCTGCTAGTCTGATTAGAAGAAAATTGTTATCGCATCACAATAACTACGACTTTTTAATAATATGCCTCACAAAGAGCCAACCACCTTACTTAATAAACGATTTTGTTTATACTCGTATGTGAAATTGTTCTTTTAATGATATAATGAAAGATAATTTAAGTGTAAAAACACAAAGTAAACTATAAGTAATACTTTTTTCGGATGCTTAGGAATGCATCAAAGACAAAACTTCTTTTATTTGCGCCAGGAACCTTCGCAGGTATATACAGAGTAACCCACCAGAGTCTCATCACAATCGCATCAATGCTTGAAGAACGCATTGAGGGCAAACATGCGAACATTCATTTGTATTTAGGTATATAGATAAAATAATATAATAGACTTAAACATGCTTCTAAAATATTGCCGGTTCATATTAGGCAATAATTAAACGATTTCAACATTTCCAAAAATATTTAAGGTTAAGATTGTACTTACTTGGAAGTTATGTTAATCCCACCAAAAACCGAAATATGAAAAGGGGGCCAAGTTCGGTACAAGCGACGTTGAGGGTTGTCTGTCTGCGTTGCTTATAAAAGGGTAGAAATCTAAACGAGTTCCATTGGATGAATCCAAGTTTGTTTGGGCACAAACACATTTAAAACAATTAATGAACATTGTATATGTCTATTGGTGACACTAGAGCTGAAAAATATGCACTTACATATATGTAATTTAATAAATAATCTAATTTGTTTCAAAGCTGTACATGTTAATTTATCTAAACAAATATGTGCATATCTACAGTGTACCTTACTTGCAATATCGGACTACCATTATGATCACAAAAGTTTGTATGTGTGCATGTTTGTTACTCCCGTATACGGATTTCGATATACGACTTTGAATGAAATTTAGTGCACAGAAAGATTATGACGTAAATTACCCATAGGTAACTCTTACGCACTTAGGGACACGCCCGAGCAAAGCAAAGGCATATCACTAGTAGATTTTATTTCTTGCTTTAATTTGCAGTAATGAGATTGAATTGTAAGAAAGAAAACTTTTTGACGATGCCGGGAATAAAAACAAAGTTATCATACTTTCTTTTTTGTGTTAGTAAATGATAAAAATGGATTCACATCTTGATAATTCAAAAAACAAGATAAAATATAGACCTGTAGGTACATAAGTAGACCTTCTGAAAGATTGATTGATTAAGTATTTGACACAAAATAGAAAGTATTTTAGGTTAAGCGGATATCGAAAATTGCTATGGCTTTTACGGCATATGGCCGGTATGTCGTCCTTTTATTTTCCGAACTTAGCTGTTTCACTGCCATGCGTATAAATATGAGATACTTCACAAATCACAAAGAAAGTATAAGTTTAAACGGAGCCAACTTTATTATATTACTAGTGACTTGCCGTCGATTCGCTCGGGGGACATATGGTACTGTTGATTTTTCTTCAGGTTTTTTTAAGACCTACAAATTACTAATACATTGTTTTTGATGGAGCTCTTAAGGTTTAGTCAGTGTTAGTCAAATGTTTTTCTAAGAACGACTCGACAGAACCAGTTCTGATTTTCCGTGGGATTTTCCTGTACTAAAAGATATCCTAAAGGTATATTAATGCTGAACCGAGTAATAAGTTACCACTGTATAAAATTTTGTTAAAATCGGTTCAGTGCTTTAAGCGTGAAATACACATAGTTACCTATACAGATAAACAGACAAACAGAGAAAAAAATATAATAATAGGCAAACAGACAAAAAATTCTAACTATTTTTTGAAGTCTATATTCTGTTAAAAATAACAGTCAGTTTTTAAAAAATATTTCATGGTCAGATTTTGCTTTGTTACTTTTTAGAATATGTATAGAGTAATGAAATTGATATGCAAATAATGGACTATTATAAAGTTTTATACAATTAATATGATTGTATATTTTTATATTTATTTTCTTGAACATATTATTTTGATGTTAAAAATCATTAATACCCTAATTAAACTTTAATACAATTATATGTATTACTAGTAGTAGTATTCAGCCCTTTTTGACGTCCCACTGCTGGGCACAGGCCTGCCTTCAATACGAGCTGGCCTGACCTTCACCACGCTGGCCAAGCGCGGGTTGGCGGACTTCATATGCCTTTCGAAAACTTGTAAGGTTATCTCAGACATGCAGATTCCCTCCCGAAGTTTTCCTTCACCGTAAGACAACTCTTAATCATATTGAAAATGATTCGCACATGAAAATATCAGAGGTGATATACCCGGGATTTGAACTCGCTTCACTCGGTTACCCAAGCGAGCGCGTCACCACTGGGTTACCACTGCCTCAATTATACTACTACATATTTTTATATAATCATTTTTAAAGATACGATACGATGAAATTAAAATAAATAAAAATATTTAGTTAAGAAGTTGAAAAAATGTTACTTATTTTATATTAGAAATTAAGTTGATCGAGATGATCGCAAGTAATACAATTTTCTGCTACACTAGAGCTACGAAAGATGCTACGTTATGAATGCATTCTACAGTTTTAGGGAAAAGAATTTATAAACATAAAATATAAAAAAAAAATAAAGTTCGTAACACATTTCTTAAGTTTCCGTTTTTATAAAAATAATTTGAATATTATTTTTGGTTAAAGCTTTAATATTATTTTTGTTCCACTAAGTAAAAAAAAATCTAGATGTATTATTTATTAAACCATATTGGTTTATCACAGGACAACTACTACAACAATGTATTCATTTATTGCGGGCACTCTGGATACGGAGGGTAATAAAAATGAGAAATTATTTTTAATAACATTATAGGACGCGGGGCCGGTGACACCACAATATTTTGGTGACGCTAATGCCGACCCTTATTACAAAGAATTCCTTACTGCCAAGTAGTAGGTAATAACAATAATCCCTCGACTTACTTTATGACCTCTAAGCAGTTTTATAAGAGAATAAAACTTAACCTTATGAGGTTATTAAACTTGATAGGCATTTTGAGATTTCATGCTTTTATGTATATTTAATATAGAGTATTTGCGCATATGAAGGCATATTTTTTGAATAATTCATAAATAATTTAAAATATTAATCAAAACCTTTCGTTCTATCTAGCAAAGCTAGGAAAATTTATGACATGGATCCATTGTTACTGATTAACAACAATTACTAGACATGCGATACGCAAATTGAGATTAGAGAGATAATGTAAACCGCATACTCAGCATCGTGGCTGCATTAATTGAAACCTAGTATAGTATAAGTAGCTAATAATGATTGCTACAGCTATTACATCCGGTTTCTGTAACTGGAGTAAGTGTGCGTTGCTTTCATGCGGTCAGATCAAAGATTAATTCCTAACGAATCGTGATGGGACATCACCACACAATGTCATTTTGGTACAACGGACAAATTTTCCAGGGGAAGAAGGACAAAAAGGTAAGCCGGTGACGAGGTTCGGTATGCGACGCGATTATGAAACGCCATTTGTCAAGTTTTTATTGGGCTCCCTAAAGCTAAGTCTATTGTTGTCCGCCCTCCGCGCCCGCGCTCCCGACCCTTGTCTGAACGACGTTAATTCATAACTCGTATATGTTATTACAATTTTCAAGGGACTTTTAAAGACGTTTTTTTATGATTTTTCCAATTATCTTTTTGATTTATATTAAAATATACTAAAATTTGACGAAGGATATTTTTTCAGCAATTAATCATAACTATAAGAATAATACCTACTATTGCATAATTAATTCTTTGTTTAAATAAACTCTTTTTAAAATACTCTTAACTCATTTTAATTACGTCTCGATTAGTAAGTCTTTACAACAGATATCAATTTTAAAATCATCTGCTGTAATATTAAATGGTATTAAGGTTAATATTAAAGCGGCCGCGTTGCGGGGGTCGCGGGTACGGGTTCCGTCGGTGCAGCCATATTTCGCGCGTCACTAGTCAAAGCGAGGCTCGAACTCGCTAGGAAGTCAAATAACTTTAATATTTGCAGCACCCCAACATTAAAGGATTCCTAGTCTACAAAGTTAATCTCTATAGCTGCTCTTGTATCTTAACAAGTGGTCCTTTAGTTTACGTATGCTACAAAATATTACATTCTATTATTTTTTAATAAAAAGAAAACTGTATAAAATTCTATATTTTGTTTTAGTATATAAAGCAGACATTAAAACACTTTAATAATTTATTTTTCTTTTAATACTTCCTTAGATTTACGCGAATATTTGACGTTTCAAATAAAACTATCTTTTCGGATTATTTCGCGATTTATTTTGATTTTTGGTTGATTTGAGGTTTGGTTCCCCAACCAATTTTTGGTTGTGGAACCAAAAATCAAAATAAATCCGCGAAATAATCCGAAAAGATAGTTTTATTTTTCTTTATTAATTAATGAAAAACTTAATATAGATAGATATATATGTTTAACAAAACTTACAAACATAACTTTAATCAATGCAATAGGGTTTTTTAACCATAACCTATAAATATCAAAGATCATAACACGTTTGATTGAAAATATGTATTGGTACAATGAGCAAATATAACGTTAAATGTACAAGTATTATTTGTATGTTTGAGCACGACTCTCAAAGTCTAGAGAGTTTATGGTGGATTGGTGATACATAGTTTCAATATTAAAATACAGACAGATAATCTATATCAATTTTATATTATGACATTAAAAATATAATAGTTTTTATAATATGTGAGTTACATATAAGTAGGCCATAATCCACATCTAGCTGACAATAGGAAATATGCGTTATTTTTGTAATGTATTATAAAATTTTATAGAAATCCGTCGAGCGGGTTTTTCAAAAATCGACAATAAATTATTTTTTTAAATAACTTGCTTTACCCAGAATATGTTGTATTGTTTGTTATGTATTAAAAAACTTTCTTCTAACAAATTACCTTCTTTATTATGTCTACACCAAAAATGGAAAAATAAAACATAAAAAAAACGACTTGCAGGCATTAAAATAAAAAGTAAAACTAAAGAAAAAAAAAGTTGGCAAGTACGAGGTTTTACATTTAGAATACATACCTAATCAGATTTATTCTAAGTCGGTACCAGCCAACAATATTTTAAGCTATGAATATCTAATAGGTAAATATGGTTAGGTATGAACTCTACAATAGTTAAAATATTACACATCAATTTTTGATGTATTTTATGTATCAAAATCACTAACAATAGAAATTTTACGACAAATCTTACTAATAATAGAAATTCTCTTATAAACTAAATAAATCATAAGTAAGCCATGTAAAGAAAGTTTACTGCAATTAATTAGGTTTCAAAAATATCAAAAATAATTTTTTTTTCTTGATGCAAAAAAACCTTACTATTATAGCAACATATTTATGTAATGTGCTAGTACTTACATCTAAAAAAAATCACTTACTTTCTTGACTTATAGTTTATTTTAATAGGTAGAATTACTTCTGCTGAAAAAGGATATAGTTATGACTAGCCCTTGTTTTATAAATCATTACTTTGTCTATTTGCAGTATACGTTCCAAATGTATCTACGGATCCAAACCATCCCGCTCGTATTAACTTACGAGTATTTATTAAGGGTGAGATGTATATTTAGCCTAATAATATCAATTAAATAAAAAATATAAATTATTTTAAGAACTGCTCTTCCGTTTAAGTATCAACGGCTGGTGACGTTGACGATTGCTATTGATTTGTTTTACGATAGCGTCACAAAGGCACTGTATATAAATTTTAGGGATTTTGACAAGGTATGTAAGAATATCCGATGAGTCTGGAGCATTAGAGAGCCGTGACGACGCGGCTACTGCTCCAGCAGCCAAGTGTAGCGAACGGATGATGTTACCTTAAATAAATGTGTTATATAATATACATAAAAAATTCAAATATTTTTTTTTTACCAAAAAATAAAAAAATAAAAATTTTGTGGTGGGCCACCCTTGTCACTTAGGGGTAATATAGATATAATAATAGGTTTAATAGTTAACGTCCTATTCTCAGACTTACTGATTATACATGCAAAACTTCATAAGAATCGGTCAAGTCGTTTCGGAGGATTTTTGTTACAAACACTGATTAGATGGAGTTAACCAGTTTATTTTTGTATTTAATATAATTTTGGTACTCGATAGGTGAGGTATTTTAATTTCATATGGGTCTGAATGGGTATTGTATTCTGCCCTTTTTGACGCCCCACTGCTGGGCACGGCCCTCCTTTCAATACGAGGGGATCAGGCTATAGTCCACCACGCTGGCCAAAGGAGTGTTGGCGGACTGCACATGTCTTCCTAAAACTTGATAAGTTCTCTCAGACATGCAGGTATACCTCACGATTATGTTGAAAATGATTGGGATTTGACCTCGCTTTACTCGGTTTCCCAAGGGTACGCGTTACCACTGGGCTACCATTGTTTTAGGGAATGAGTATTAGACAATTCGTAAATATTACCATTTCGTCGAAACTGAAGTGGCAGTTGAGTGTTCTTGCGTAAATCTATTTCAATATCCACTTTGTAGAATTCTGATATATCTACAATTGTTGCAATTCCACGCATTTTTTCTACAGTTATATTCATCTCTGAGGCCAAAAAGAGGGCTATGTCTACAACGCTCCATATAGGAATTTGAAACTCTGTAAAAACGTCTATTATTAGTTGGTTTTAAGATTAAGATTTGTCTTAAGGTTAAGCCAGTGTTAGCCATATAAACTAAGGACGACTCGATAGAAACAGTTATTGTGTTTTCCCGTAGTAATGAAAGATTTTCCTGTAGTAAAAAGTGTTTAGTACTTTTTGGGGGAAAGGCGAATATCCAAACAGACAAAGAGACAAAAATATGAAAATCTATTGTTTAGGGGTCTATATCGCGTACATAATAAGTTAAAGTCATTGTTTTTTAAAAATATGTCATGTACAGATTTCACTAAGTTATGTTTTGTAACATTTATAGATAACTAGCAGAACCCGCAGCTTCGCTCGCGCTAAAACTACAAAAAAAATATCTAAAAACGTAGTTTCATACAAATTTTCATCTCCTATTTTACTTATAGGGTGAATTTCGAAAAAATGTTAAAACACGCAATTATTTAATTTTATTGAAGAGTATTAGTACCAAGTTTCAAATAATTCTGATCATAATTTTTTTTTGGATTGTATTATAACGTGTTTTCCCGTGGGAATTAGATAATCTCCCGCGGTAAAAAGTAGCCTAAGTCTCTCTCCAGCCCTCCAACTATCTCCACACAAAAAATCACGCCAATCCGTCACTTTGTTTCGACGTGAAAGAAGAACAAAGAAACAAACAAACAAACAAACAAACACACTTTCACATTTATAATATTGAGTATGGATATAGATTTCTGCTTTTTAATATTTATAATAAGGTTATTAAAATATTTAAAATTTTTCAACGTCCTATATATGTAAAAATTCAATTTTTTCATGACATTAATTTAAATAACATTTTTTTAAATGTCAGTATATTATGTAATAAAAATTTATTTTAAAATATATCCGAAAATAACATTAAAAATTTAAGTAATAGTATAAAAAATGTTTTAAAAGACAAAAAAATTGAAAGTGCATATTACAAGACTTCCGCGATACCATTCAGACAAAAAGAGACAATAGCATTCCCAAGGAGGGTTGACGTCAGGCAGGCGGACGGTCGTAAAACTTTTGCCAAATCCTATCAGCAAAAATGGACAGGGAGAAGAAGAAGAAACGCGTATCCTTTAGGGTTTTTAGCAAAAGTGCATTCTCAATATGACTACTACTGTTAATATTAATAAAATCACTACATTTGCAAAGAAATATCTTTCCTATTAATATTATTTATTTAAAATTTCCTCGTTATTATTGTATGTTCATAACACTTAGATATGAACCAGATGAAATACGTATAAATAGTGCCCTTCGCTCGGGCTCGTCCCTAGGTTGAATCCCCATACAAACTTTCATCTCCATTTTCACCCCCTTAAAGGATGATTTCCGGGATAAAAAATATCCTATGTCCTTCCCAAAGTCTCAAACTATCTTCTTACGAAATTTCATATAAACCGGTTTACTAGATCCAGAGATTACCCCCTACAAGGTCACAAACTCACAAACTTTACCTCTTTATAATATTAGTATAGATATATAATAAAAATAGTTACTTAATGTGATATAAATATCCATTTCAGCGGCGATGATCTCTTCTACAGTATGTGATATACCTTTGCACAAGAGACAAAGTCGGACTACGTTAGCGTTTATTTGTATACTTTGGGAAGAGTTCATTTTAGCAGCGAGTAATATGCAACCAGTCATCATTACTATACATCGCTTCTGAGACCGTTTCAACAATTCTGCTTGTAATCTGGGATCTAAAAATTAAGCATTTTATTTATTAAAGAAAGCAGATATTATTTATAAAAATATATATCGATACCTCGGGGCTCAAATGGCGTAAGCACCAAAACTCGATTTTACAGGAGAGCCAAAAAACAAAAACAAAAATTTCGACATAACTTTTTTTGATTTTTGGGCTATATAAACCATTCTAAGACCAAAAGTTTTTTTTATGCAGAACACTGTAAAATTATATTACGAATAAATTTAGAAGTAACAAAAATAGCTATCCTATACACCCCGGAAAATTGCATGTTTGGGGCGTTTACATACCAAAAATCAATGGATGTGTGATGAGTAATGGTTGTAACCGTCAATTTGTCTATTAATTCTATCAGCTTATAGATAATTACTTTGTTTTGCTTCAGTTGATTAAATTTCAAGTAAACTTAATCAACTAAACTGTTTACTTGATATTTAATTGCAATTTTATATGGACTTTAGCTTTATATGTTATTAACTTAGCATACCTTAATTTATCAAATCAGATAACTAATTATACAAATCATTATTGATTTTACCTATACCTAATTGCCTGTCTTACCTAAAAACTATTCAATAACACGTTCTTTATAAAAATCATCTAAATATAAAAACTTTTTAACAAAAAATAAAAACCGACTTTAAATAAAAGCACTAAAAAGTAAAAAATAACTGATTGGTAGTTTTCTTTTACTATACATACCTAATCAAATATTTTCGAAGTCGGTGTGCTTTGCTTTGTATGGGCTGGCACCGATTTCGAAAATATTTGATTAGGTATGTATTTAATAGGTAGGGTTTAATTATTTAGCCAAAGCACACCGACTTCGAAAATATTTGATTAGGTATGTATAGTAAATGAAAACTACCAATCAGTTATTTTTTACTTTTTAGTGCTTTTGTTTGAAGTCGGTTTTTATTTTATGTTAAAAAGTTTTTATTTTTCCCTTTTCAGTGTAGACAGTAGTAGCAAAGTAAGAATTCTAACGTATTAGACTTGTCAAATCAAACAAAACAAGCCCAAACTCAAAGTATCTACTATTAGCCGTTGAAGACTTCCACCTATCCACCTTCTGGCCATACCATCAGATCAGGTCAACAATATTGAACCACTGTACTATCAACGGAAATAGAAACACTTGCAAAGTTTCAAGTCAATATGACAATTAGAAGTAGGTTAAATTCATCATTAGCTATTTTTCCACCCTTAGGGGTGGTATTTTTTTTTGAAATTTAAATGGGACCAATCTGCAAGTATACACTTTCAAACAACACAAAAATTGTCCAAATCGGATAATAAATGACGGAGTTCTGAAGTAACAAACATAAAAAATAATACAGTCGAATTGAGAACCTCCATGTAGGTGACTTATACAATAATATATATTTAATTTATCATATTTATATATTAAACTGTTCATTTCATAATATTTATATTTTATTAAATATTTAATTTACGTATTTATATTATCTACTCACCTACATACACACATACAACACGTTTATATAATTATTTATATTTATTAAATAATATTTATTCATATACATTAAATCGACAAGCATAGCCGCGCGAAACCGGTAGTATACAGTGGATCGGAATTTGTTTTGCTTCTACCGACCACTAGTAACATTTTTCCTAACAAGCAGTCAATGCTTTGCCGTTCGATGCTAATTACTTGTCTTTATATAATTTAATCGTTTTCGTGAGATATTGTATGTGGACTTTATATGTTTGTACTGTAACTCTTTGTGTCATAGTGTATTTCCCTAAACGTTCCTTCTGTACTGTTTTTACGTGTGAGTTGACTTTATTATTACAATATTATCAGTGACGTAACATATTCTTTTATTTGTGATTTATCGTCACGCAACAACCACCAAACTCCACCTCCTCCTTTTTGAAGTCGGTTGAAAATTACAAACAGACACTTCACTTTTATTTATCTGTATAGATAACATATCTGAATAAAACCACAGATGTAGCTGTCGGCAGATGCTAGTAGGTATATAATATTAGTACTTTGGAATATAATCCATACGTTTTATTGCGGAGTTCCTATGGGCACCTTCCAGCACCAGCATCAGACCCTGGTTACGATATAGGATTAAAGTAGTCGTGAATGAGATTTACCTACTATTATCAGGTTACTCTAATAGCCTGAAAGAATTTGACTATCGGTCTATATTGAAAAAAAATTCTTTTAACTCCTAACCGTTGAGGAGTTATTGAGAACCTCCTCCTTTTTTTGAAGTTGGTTAATAAGAGCCTGAAAGAATTTAACTATCGGTCTATAATTACGTATAATATTGAAAGAATTTTCTTTTAACTCCTAACCGTTGAGGAGTTGTACCTTCCATCATTAGCTCAACCACAGGAGATGATGATTATCAGACGCAAATACTTGAACAGCTTTAGGAAATATATGAAAAACGTAATAAGTGCCTATAAAATTTGAGAGTTGCCTTCGATTTCCCTGGGATCCCATCATCAGATCGTGACTTGGTGACTATGGGACCAACTAGAAACTATACCCTTTCAAACAAAAAAAGAATTTTACAAATCGGTCCAGCCATCGTCGAGTAATCGGGGAACATACATTAAAAAAAAAGTCCCCGACGAATTGAGAACCTCCTCCTTTTTTTGAAGTCGGTTAAAAATCGTAAAAATGGCGCTTACTACCTTAACATTTATTGAGATTGCTCTTACGACCCAAAACTGAAAATATTTCAATGTAAAATATTAGGCGTAAAAAAATTTGTATCATTTACGGTGTTGGTTACGACACAAAAACTGAAAATATCTGTTTTATTTTCTACAAAAATGAGGTAACGCCATTTTTTAGCGAATTAGAAGACTTTAAACACAGAGATCGATAGAGGAGAAAAAACGAGTAGGGCTGCATTAAAAAGTCAATTTCGCCGAAATGGCGGTTACTCCCTTTGAGTCCCGAGGTATCGATATGTTTTATATAAGATGTATAAGTAATTAAAAATTTAGATATATAAAAATAAAAACAAATATACCGGTAATCGTTGTGTAACCCGTAAAAATTGTATATAAATAACGTTCAAATATCACACAGGCTTGTCCAGGAATACCGTATGATGGAAATCCCAGAACACTGCATAAATTCCACAAGATGGCCCGACCTTTTGGTGGCAGCAACTTTATGGCACCAAATTCTTCAGCTAAAGTAAAAATTAAAGGACTACTACTTATAAATCAGTTACTATATATAATAAAATAAAATATACTATAATAAATCAGTTTTTATGTAATATGTGTAATTTTATGTAATTTTATTAATCATATTACATGAAAAACTGTTTTATTCACTTCACGTAGCATTTATATCCCAAAAATTACCTAATATTAATTTATTTAAACATTAAGTTAATAAAAACAATTATAAATAAAGTTAAATTCTTACCTTCTTGTTCACAATCTTTTATTAACAACTTAATCCATTCGGCATGGAAACAAGCTGAAGCTGTTTCCAATCCCGACATTTTAGCTAATATAATTTAGGTACTTATCAGTAGGAAATTAAAATTTTACACACTCGATATCTCTTTGGTTTATATAATTAATGACCGAGAAACATTTTGTTTCACGTTTTAGGAGTTTTACCTACATACTTTAATTATAATACAAATATATATGTCAAATAATCAAAGACAATCTACCTACATAATGTTTATAAATTGCAGGTTATGTCACAAAATATTTAGACAATTTTTTTTTATAACGTTGTTTATGACTTACGTCTAAAAAGCCACAATTCACTTTTAGCAATAATCAATTTAAAATGTTCTATAATATTTTATGAATATAACTTTAATGTTTATTTAAAATTTTGGTTAATAATTAATCTAAACAAAAGATAACAAAAGTAAGGTTTACTTTTTAAATAATTTTTAATCATATATTTTTATGAACCTAGTAACGTCAGTTATGTATCATATTCCCATTAAAACTAATATTTAAAATATAAAAATCTCCATAATAAATTTCATCTAAACCGATTCAGGAGATTAAGCGTGAAAAGGTTACAGACAGACAGAAAGACAGAGTTACTTTCCAATTTATAGTATTATATGGATTAGTATTACGAGTACTGTTGTTTTTAAGCTACAAAAATAATATGTCAGATTTGTCATCGATTTTGATTGTCACCTACCATCAAACAATAATGATGGATAATGATGATGATTTATAAATAAAAAAGAAACAAACGAAATAGCTAAATAAAATTATGTTACGATTATAATTAAGTTATACATTATTTATATCGCCACTAGATTAACAGTCCCTTCGTAAATTAAATAAATTTAAAATATTTTTAATAAAAAATAGAAAATCGTATTTTTTTGAAATAAAAGAATTCGAGATGAATATTTTAACATTCTGTGATTGCGTGTTGTGTTTTAATTTTTTTAATTGTACTTTTTGCAATAATTTAGTATTTATAAATGATTATTACGATATAATATAAAACTTTAAAGACAAATCCATTAAGTAGGAAACTTATCTTGCCTGAAAGATTTTTATGCAAAGCCAGCTCTTAATTTGATAATCCGCAGACGTACGTAATAAAGGGAACAGTAAAATGGTTGAAAAGGAAAAGCGAGACAGTATGGGCGTGGCGGCGACAAGGCGTTGATTTTTCTCTTTCGCTCCGCCCAATGGAAAATATCCAGGTCCCGCCCTCGCGCCATTTATACATATCATATGAAAATAAAAAGAAGACACGCTACAGCTTATCATGCCACAGTGTACATATAAGAAAATTCAAAATTAAAGCGAAATATTTTTATTACTAAAGATGTGTCTTGGTCGTAGCAAATTTGAAGCTATGAATAGTAAGTACACTTTTTATCAACGTAGGTTTTGAAAAAAATCCTTTATCGTTAGGGTCGAATTTTATAACGTTTTTTTAAAACCAAATAGGAGTATGCATCATTTACATCCATGAAAATCTATACATTTATATCTATCTAAACATATGAGCTAGTAACAAAGCGAAATCTGTACATTAAATATTTTTTAAAAACAATGACAATTTTACGTATTGTGCACAGAATATAGACCCCAAAAAATATGTTATTGAAATTTTTGTCTGTTTTTCTATGTTTCTATGTCATTTTCTCTTCATGCTGTGAACTGATATTAGGTAAATTTTGAGTAGTCATAACTTATTACTCAGGTCAACATTTAGGATACGCGCGAAATTTCTCATCCCCACGGAAAACACAATAACCGGTTCTATCGAGTAGTCCTCAGTAGCTAACTCTGGCTAAGCCTTATGCCATACTTCAAAACAATATACTCTTACTAAAAAATGATAGCTTTATCTCCTAATGTACACTCACCATTACTATTTTTACCTATTTGAAGCCCGGGACGCACCCGGGCGAAGCGAGGGTGAGTCGGTAGTATTAAATGATAACATTAAATGATTATTTAAAGGAATATTTATGTATGGATTATTTTGTCGTAATAAATATTGTTTAAGGTCAAAGATTTAGGAGTCCAATTATAATTATCGAGACATTGTTATCGATACAGAGGCCGAATCTATTTTTAAAATTTTTGTCTGTATGTCTGTTGGTCTGTCTGTCTGTGACAGCATCACCACTGGAGTAATTTTGATAAAAGAAATTATAATAGCTGATAATCGGGTCAACACATATAGGATACTTTTTCTGCGGGAAAATATTTCATCTCTGAGAACTCTGTACTAAACGTTAAATCGTAACAACTATAGGGACAAACCTAGCGGAGCGAGAGTGAGTCGCTAGTTTTAAATAATTTATTACGATATTCAAATATCGGCTTGTTCGCAATGTAATTAGCGTTAAGTCTGTCAAGAGTTTAGATGTATAGAAGAGCGTAGACATCTATCACACAATCGAACACCGATCAACCGACGGCTTTGCTGGCTTGCGGCTAGACAGCTCAATTTCAGCGACGGCTACGTCCACAGTTGCAGTAATGTCAGTTCCGTTTAGCATTTCCGGCAATGTTAGGTACATACATATATACTAATATTATAAAGAGGTAAAGTTAGTGAATTGTGAGTTTGTGACGTTGTAGGGGGTAATTTCTGGATCTACTGAATCGATTTAAATGAAATTTAGTAAGAAGAGAGTTTGAGACCCTAGGATGGACATAGGATACCTTTTATTCCGGAAATCATCCCTTAAGGGGGTGAAAATGGGGATGAAAGTTTCTATGGGAAAGCAAGCTAGGCACGAACCAGAGCGAAGAGAGGGTGAGTCACTAGTATATTATAAAGTGGAAACTATATAAACTATTATAGACTTTTGACCGTGTACATTGCAATATTATAAGTAGTAGGGTTACTTACTTACCTACTACTGAATTTATAAATGTCAGTTATACTTTCTTATTAACTTTTAGTCAAAACCATCTATAATATGTATAAGTTTAAACTTATATATTTTAAGTAAAAACGAATTTTTTAGACATCTATAATCTATACATATAATAAAATTCTAACTGAGTCTAATCTGTACATTAAATATTTTTTGCAAAATCTTATTGAAATAATGTCTTATTATCGATACAGAGGCCGAATCTATAGTTTGTAGAATTTTTGTTTGTCTGTCTGTCTATCTGTCTGTTTGTTACCGCATCACAGAAAAACTACTGGACGGGTTTTAATGAAATTTGATATGGTTATAGCTGATTATCCGGGTCAACATATAGGATACTTTTTACAGCGGAAAAATATCTCATTTCTGAGAAAAAATACAAAAACTGTAATGTAAGAGTATTCTAATATGTAAAACCTAAGAATTTGGTTTTTGGTCATCTCAACGCGGGCGAAGCCGCGGGCAATGCTAGTTAGTAGATAAAAAGTGTTCTACTTTAAAGAAGCTAGGTCAGCCAGGCTAGGAAAGATCCCCCCCAACGTGCGTTCACCTTGTCGTGGTGGGGGGGCTCAGTAGTGCCCGGCAACCCAACCGGGCGCGAAGCCAAGAAACGCACAGGGAGGTGGCCCACTTCGGTGGGCGGTGGGAGGTGGCCCTCTTCGGAGGGCGGTGTACCATGCGGGTTGCTCCTGGTACTTCTCTGATAGCAGAGTGGACCTTGGAGCAACCCCATGGTTTACCATGCTACGCGACGCGAGGTCCTGGTCGGCGATGGTCTCCTTCAGTGAGACCGTCATCTCACTGAAGGAGACGGCGGAGAGGGAACGCGAGGCTAACGCCTTAGCAGACCCTCTTCGTCGCCGTCGGCTGGGGGGGAGGAGGCGCCGGTATGCGCATCTTCTCCCGCCACCCTAGAGGAGCTACCGCGGGGGGGTCTCTCGTTGACTCCCCTGCACGTCATCGGGGCGGTCGGGATGCCCTGCGAACCGAGGGCATCCTGATTTAGGCGAGGCTGGCCCGCGTGGTACGGGCCGTCCGCAGGGGTGTTGCAGTGAGTGCGAAAGCGATCCTGCACGCCCCATTGCACTGCGGCGAAGGGTTCCGCTGTGGGTTTTAGTGAGTAGGAGTCTCACAGTACCCTGCCCATGACGGCGGCAGGGTCCCCATGATGGGTTTCCCCAGCGAAAACAAATAAAAAAAAAACCCCATGGTTGTGGTGGTCTGCTTCGGCAGACCTGCCGTCGAGGCGTCGTAGTTGAATGCGTAAGCGATCCTGCGACGCCCCATTAAGACGGGGGAAAGTTTTGTTGGGTTTTAGTGGGTAGTACTGGCTTCGCCGGTGAGTCCCACACCTCGTGCGTAAATGCATTTCCCAACGTTAAAAAAAAAGGCTAGCAAAGATCAAGCTGTTGGGAGATCCATTGAATTATATAACTGGAGTGATTAAGTAACCCTGAGTGGTGTTAAGTTATCCTTAGCAATAACCTAAAAATCAATTTTGCATTAATATTTTATTCTTTAAATGATACATAAATACATCACAATTAAGATAAATAGTAGCCAATAAAGTCATTATGGATCCATGAACATTGAAATCCATCACGTAATTGAATACAAATCAACCGGCCAGTGTATAGGCGTGATGCTGCCGGCTAAAACGCCACAGATTCACTTTAACAGCTGTTTTTGTTATTTGAACGTGTATGAAAATTTGTTTACCACCATAATGCATGTAAAAACAAATGACATAACAAAGATCTCAATATGATATTGAGAATGTAGTTCCATTTTTATACTTATGCTTATGCTTATGTTTGTCCTTTACGGCTGTTGTGGATGGGGGGATTTGAAATATTCCTTTCTTACGTCATTTAAAGTATGTACGAAGATCAAATGAAATGTTATAGTTTAAGTAAATCCTGATTGTAAATAAAGGTAAAACGATAGTGCTACCTTAGTAGCTCTTCATAGAGGGTCTCTTTAATATTAATAATATTGATAGTATTCGAAACGCGGAAAAACATCGTTAATTTTATTATTTTTCTAAATTCATTTAATTTCATTTAATGAACGGGTTTTTCTATCTCGGCCGATAACTCTTAAAATATTGG